TCCCAGCACCAACCATCACAAATTCACTCCTCATCCAGCCTTCTCAACGTCCTTCCACTCCCACTTCTACTTTTTAAGTAACCAACTCACCAAACCACTCAATCAAAATGCGTTTCTCTACCATCATCGTCGGTACTCTCGCTGCCTTCGGCCTCGTCGCTGCCCAGGCTACTCCTGCTCAGCAGATCGTTCAGACCTTCAAGGAAATCACCACCCTCTCTGACAACCTCCGCATTGAGACCCAGAAGATCAACCTCATCAACGCGCCCCTCCAGGGCTACAAGATCGCCCAGGGCTTCGCTACGATCATCACCAGAGTCGGCCAGGCCAGCGCCATGCTCAGCGGTGGTGGCAGTGCCAAGACCCGCCGTCAGATGGCAGCCCTTGGAGATGCGGATGCTCAGCTTGTTGTGCAAGCATTGACTACTGTAAGTTATTCTATACTGATCTCGATAAAGATTTAAAGTTCTAACAGTGAGGGAATATAGTTCGTTCAAGTTCACCAGGCCCTTCTTAACGTTGTTATCGGAAAGCACGGACTCCTCACTTTGATCCCATTCTTTGAGCCTATCCGCCACGCACTTGTTTCCCTTGAGGCCACAGTCGACGTGAGTTTCCAATATTCCCTGACGATTATATCAATCATATACTGACCAGCGCTTGAATAATAGACCTTCGCTTTCTACCTCATCGCCTTGATCCCTACTCAGAAGCCTGCTGCTGATTCTCAGTTCGGAGCTTTGACTGTCACTGTTCAATTTGCCATCAGCACCTACGAGCAGCCTTTGTGAATGGTTACTACTGGTAAATGGGAATTATCTAAAGATTAGTTTATGAGTTGGATGATTTTGGAGGGTCAATCTTTTACCTTTTCTATAATGTGCGCAAACTTTTACATAACGATTGTTTCTTTTTGGAATGAGGAAGAGGTGGATCGAGTAGTTAGTTAATTGTGTCTTGGTTGATAATATATGGGATATTTCCTTAAAAGAGAGTGTGCCTTGAATGATCTTTGAGAAGCTAGTGCGATTCGTGATTGATCAATGAGCCCAAAGACGTCTGAAGAGTCGAAATTAGAAGAGAGGACTAATCCAGCATCAAAATTTGACTGGCAACCAGTTTACACAGTAGTAAGAAGAAAAAGAAAGGCCGAGGGCTTGAAAAAAGACAAGGTCTGATATGATTAATGTTCCGATATGAGTGCGCCCATAGTACTCTTTCCGGAGGGTCATGATGTTGCACTCGGTACCACTGATCGGATTAGATTAGATTAGATCCTTCGTCGCACAGGCGAATTTCTGAGACAGCAGATAGGCCCTGCTTGGCGTACCAGAAGAAGAAAAGATAACCAGCAACCCACAGGCAGCTCAACTGGATCAAAAAGAGCCATGTCTTACTTCGTCTAGCTTGGGAGCGTGACAAACACGAACGGTTCGCAGTCATGAGCCATGACTCGTTAAGCTTTGTCGAGGCTGCTGTTGAAATGGTTAATCGTAATCGAAGAGGGAAGATATCGGTCGGACGTACAGTGGTTGGTGTGATTTATCGGGTTTGCGTCGTACTTGTGCCTGGGGTCGGATTGTTGACGGATGTTATTGTGGGCACTTTCTGCCAACGGTGTCCCAATCAGGGGGAGGGGGCGAGACGAAACGACAGGCCGTGTGGGAAGACTAGATTAGATCCCCATGTAATAAGATGTCCAACTGTCGTTATCGGCGGCGGGCTTGGGTCTTCTAGTGTACCCGGCCTTGAAACTTTGTTGTTTCGTTGTCCCGAATATCATGGATCTCAAAGCCCATGTCAGGAAAAACACGCTTCATTTCATCTATGTTTAGGAAACCACATACATCCCGAGTCGACGTTTCTATATTACATAAATATAAAGGCTACAGTCTGTTGATACACTGACCCACCGGGTGTTTACATACATATACTTTCGTTGTTAAGAGGAGGCAAGGAGATGTGTCTTCGATCATCACGCCGTAACAATCGGTTTCTATTACACATCAGACCGGCATCTGCTCCCTCTATCTTTTTCGTCAATTAAATACTGCGAGCTAAGGGGGTAGCTCCACTTCTCTCAATTACCACCTCCGTGGAGGAAGAACCTATTTCTACCGAAAGTAAATTTCATCTAATCTCCTCTCCGCACCAATTGACTTTGAACATTAGTCCGATTAGCCGTCTCATGCCCTCCATACCCCAACGTACCTCACCCAGCATATCTATTTGAACCTCTCTACTGCCGCGCCTGATACTTCAGTGGAGGCGATTCTTGCTTTGAGTTTTATTAATGACTACTCTCAAGCGTATGTATCTCCCCCTGTTCCTGGACCCATTTTGCTCTGGTTACTTTCGCCACTTTCAAGTGGAAACATAGAATAAGTTTTGAATTCCCGAGGAGAAAAGTGCGCTCCAACTGTGTTGCTACAAGTCATGTGTCGCTATTTCGGAATCCGGAGAGGTCATTCATTATCGTAAGTGTCGGGATGTCGCGCTAACTAGAGTGTCGCTGTGCATTTGCCCGCTATAGTATCTTTGATTCGGGGCTCGAGGGATATAGACATTTTTCGGCGTTGAGCACTGCGATAAGGTGAGTTATTAGATCGAAACCTAAGCGTTGATCTTCTGAAAGTATTCTCGTTAAATACGGTGACCACGTACAACACAGCTTACTTGAGAAAGTAACCAAAAAGGGCGGTGACGGTGACACAGTTGATAACTGTGCAGTCCTGCTCAGATGATTTAAGCAGTGAGGGAGCTGGCAAGGACTGATAATAAGACCAGGGTGAGGGGCATGAGTGTTGGCTCAGCGTTTTTTTTGAGTCAGTCACGTGTCGTAACCCTAACCCATTTCCCCTATCAATGATCGATTCCCCAGAATATAATTCAAAGTCATTGCTGCATAAATGTAACTAACCGAAAGCCTCAAGATCATAATTATACCCCCCGAAATCTTTCTAGAAAATGGCACCGTCACCGAACCGGTTGGGGGCTTAAACCCGGTAACATTGGTTCGCCGGTGAAATGCGGCAAAGAAATATAACCCTTACCCTGATCCATAACGCAGCAACACCATGGAAGGAATCATCGGTGACAACGAGAGCGGTTTAGAAGACTTTGTATCTTGGCCTGCAAACAGCCCTGCCGATAATGTCCACACCGTGTTGCGTTTATCCCAGTGCACCCCCGACCCGCTGTGCCACAACCAATCCGGTAAACTATCTTTGAAGATATATATCACGAATCTCCATGCCCATCCTAAGTATTGCTCTCAATTCCTCCACGAGTAACAGAGAACAAGTCATAAATACAATTTCAAAGTCTTCGAGCTGTGCTTTAGACACCACATTCCTTTACCAACCAACCAGAAAACACCTATCAAGATGCAACTCCCCGCCATCACCTTGCCATTCATTCTCCTCGTCTCCACCGCATCCGCAACGCTGGCGACTCCGCAGCAACCCCAAGTACAGGCCCAAATTGTCCCCATCCGCTGGGAAACCCTCGAGTGCGGCAAACACTGCCCCAAGAACATCACAGACATCCTGCACAAGCTTCCCCCGCAGTGGCAGCGGTTCCACGATGGGACGCTGATGCGAAACTTTACGGGCCCGTTGAAGCCGCCGAAGCCGGCCAAGGGGAAGATTGAGTGGGCGCTGCTGGCGGAGGTGTTGAGGAATAGGACGGCGACGTTGAAGAAGCAGAATAGTACTGCGACGGCTCCTCCAAGGTTTATTTTGGGATGAGGCGACGTCTAGGGGGTGGTGAAATGCTTTCTTGTGTTCTTTTTCTTTCCTTTTTTCTCTTTTTCTCTTTTTTTTTCTTTTTTTTTTGAGGAGGGGTGGGATGGAGATCTATGGTTCGATTGTGTATTGGTGTTATGGGGTTCTTTTGGTAATCTGTAGAAATGAAATTATGAGTTTCGACCTAAATCAATATTGTTCGATAGTCATATATGTGGAGCTGGACGAAATAGCCCGATTACCGAGTTTAATTTGTCTTTTCTTATTCGATTAGCCATATCCCACGCTTAACTCTGGGCATATCTTTTGCGTGGGAACTATCTCAAGAGAAAAATCGAGACTTTGTGGCGCATACCACCAAGCTAAGAGAAAGACGACCAACTGGACAAGCGGGACACGTAGCAAGAATGCAGGCGAAAGGCGAGCGGTAATACGTGGTTAGAAACGGTGGACTATAGCTTAGATTCTCACCACTCCTATTGCTTCATCGCTTTAGTTATTCACGTTTGCATCAGCTCGCCGAGATCGAGAAGCTTCGAACGATCAAGGCCTGAATATAAGCAGTAGCCAACCAAACAAACTTCAAACCAAATGACCAGTTGCACTAATTTACGTATGTTCACTTGTCTATATCTCCCCTCTCAGTAGCGTATATACGAGAATAATGGTTACTATGAGCATACAACCAATTACTTAGAACGGGATTCTAGAAGACGTGATAGAGACTTACCCTCCGCTTAACTGTCAACAATGAGTTCGAGATAATTTACTCGACAGGAAACATCCTTATATCAAAGCTTAAACGCCGCGAATCTATCCACCCGGTACGACTTTCCTTGGGCTATATTCCTTGTACTCGGTAGAAACTATATTGACCTTGTATTCTAACTTGCATTATTTAGCATAGTTTGCCTTATTATGCTTAAATCTCACTACGGTGTACAGAAGTAGGAACTATCACCATCATATATTGGTAGCCATGCAGATCACTGGCCGACAAAATACTATAAAAACCCCAGAACCTAAAACGATCTCAACAAGCCCGTCAGCTGTGCTGCTCAAAATCTTACATTCCTTTGTCTATTCCATTCGATCGCTCGCTTCTTCTTCCCCACATTTTAATTTTCGAGTCGTTTATTGGTTGACCCGACGTTCGAATATCGATTCACCCACAAGCTATCCAAACCGCCACCCAACCACAATCTACAACCACTCGCAGTACCTAAACCCCCAACCTCTCCATATCTCATTACCATGCGCATCGCCGCCCTCTCCCTCACTCTTCTCCCCCTCCTCCTATTCCTCGCCGCTGAAACCACCGCCGCCCCCGCCGACAACCGTACCTGGGCCGAAATGCTCGCGGACATCCCGTTCCCCACCGACCCCTGCAACCACGGCAACCTGGTCTGCTTCAGGTATGGGAAGAAATAGGAGGAAGCAGTGGCCAAGAAGAAGGCGACGCTGGGGAGCGCGCGGAAGAAGCTTACGCCGACTGAAGAGCTAACAGAGAATGGGATAGCGGTCATGAAGGTTAAGATAGAGAGATTAAAGAAGAAGGAGGAGGCGGCAAAGAAGTCGAAGGGAGGGTAGGCTAGATTTTGTGGAGTTTGGGGTTATAATATGGAGAGAGGAAGTACCGCCGCCGCCGCCGCCGCCGCCGTATGGCCACTGCAGGGACTTGGCGAAGCGTATAGGGGTGTATGTAAATATAGACAAGGAGACCCAGCTGGACTGGTTATGATGGATAATAATAGACACAAAGGCTTCGTTGATCGCTGTTTTGTCACTCAATTGATCAATCAATCAAAGAATCTCTCGTGTTGAAATTGTGAGTTGAGCAAAGATAAGCTTAAACTGGCGACAAGGATCCCGGCTTCAAACCCCACTACATTGCGACATTGGAGATTATTATATACCACTCTATCCGAGTTGACCAGCGATAAAGGCTGGTCTGTTCAACTTGAAGCAAATAACTACATGTAGCGTGACAGACCGGGAAAGCTACTTACGATATCGATCATCAGCCCTGACTCGGCCGACGAGTGATAATCTATGAACAAGTCTATCTAGAGTACATGTTTGATTGATTGATTGATTACCTCATTAATTGTATGCAACCCGGAAGTCTATCTACATGTAGTTTATATGCTGTCGACGAGACGTACCCACAAAACTACAACCCACAGTCCCTCAAAAAGGTCGTGATGGTTCATCTGCTCCTCTCGAACTCTCGGTATCACCCAGAGCCCAAGAGGGACAAAACGAACCAACGTAAAAAAGCCCCCTCCCTTTCACAACGGGAAGGGGAGAGGGCAAAGTATCCTAACGCAAAAAAGCCCCCTCCTCTTCTTGCGAAGAGGAGAGGGCAAAGTGTCCTAACGCAAAAAAGCCCCCTCCTCTTCTTGCGAAGAGGAGAGGGCAAAGTGTCCTAACGCAAAAAAGCCCCCTCCCCAAATGGGGAGAGGGCAAAACGACTTAACGCAAAAAGGGCCCCCCCTCCTTCAAAAGAAGGAGGGGAGGCCCCAGTGCAGAAAAAAAAAGGGGGGGGTGCCCCCCTCTCTTCCCATTATGGGAAGAGAAGGGGACAGACCCCCCACCACCACCAGCAGCAGCCCAGCCCAGCGGCCCAGCCCAGCTCAGCGGCCCAGCCCAACCCAGCAGCCCAGCGGCCCAGCCCAGCCCAGCAGCCCAGCGGCCCAACCCAGCCCAGCGGCCCAGCCCAGCCCAGCAGCCCAGCCCAGCCCAGCGGCCCAGCCCAGCCCAGCAGCCCAGCACCCCCACCAGCAGACCCCCCCACCAGCAGACCCCCCCACCAGCCAGCCCACCACAAATTTCAAACCCCTCCCCAACAAGGGGAGGGGGGACAGTCATCGACCTCCCCCCCCAAGGACTTGGGGGCCTAGGAGGCCGATGGAAAACCCTCCCTTGCTTTGTGAAGGGAGGGCCGGGCGCCCCAGGGAGCGCCCGCTCTGCCCCGAGAGGGGACTTGCAGAGTTCTGTGATTTTTCTGGGAGAAGTGGGAAGAAAGGAGTCCTTATAAAGAGCTGGGGACTTTGGCCGCCGTTTGGCTTAGTATAGTGTTTTACGGTTTAGGATTTAAGAGAGTGCCAAGGATTTGCGTTTTGGACACCTTGGGGCGGGGGGGATGTGCGTTGCATCACTCGTTTCTCGTTGGTGGCCGACCTTACGAATGCGTGTTGCTGCACTTAGGCTTACTTTGCGCAACTTCCACAGTTGATAACTTTGTTTGATTTTTCTTCCCTACCAATTCGCACCTCCTTCAGTTATATAATGGACCCCTCTTTATATGTCAAGTTGGAACATTAAACTTTATCACCTAAATAATTCCAATTATCCCGTTGAAACGTGGCAAACGAATACGAGGATTTGGCATACTGGTGAGTGCTACGCAGGGTTAGGGATTTCCCACATTCGACAAACCAGAGCATATATGTCGATGTGGTATTGACATAGTTAACCAACTCAGACGCCCATCTCTACACTAAAATCTCAAGGCCGTGGGAAGATGGAAAAACACGCGCAGCAGCTACATCATGCAGAACTAGATTTTAGGCAACATACCCCCGAAGGCAACATCAAACATTCTCGCCGACATATTTTTATTCCAAACTACATACATACTCCCCCCCCCCCCCCCCCCACCACCACCGCCAACTCAAAACCGTCTCCATCACATCACACCACGTCACACTACACACTCTTATTCATCCGGCACCTCGCCCTCCTTCGGCTCCTCGAAGTCATAAAAGTCCACACTGGGGTTGGTATCCAACGCCTCCTTATAGTCAGGCAGAGTTGCCAGCCCCTTCATATCACCCGCCTCCGCCATCTTAGCCACAGCGTCAATGCTACCCGGGTCGACAGTAACCGTCCTATTTGCGCCCGTCTCCGTCGTGTACACAAAGACATTGGGGTCGATACAGCCCTCGGCAATTTGGCAAACCTCGTCTTGACGCTCGAGGAGGACGCTGCGGCGGAAGGTCCATTTGCAGATCCCCTGTTGCCAGCGGCCGGAACGGACACCTGTGGTTGGGGGTGAGCGTGTGTCAAGGGAGAAAGGGGATGGGGAGGAGAGCTTACCGAGAAGGCCATTGTAGTTGACGCAGGAGCTGTAGCGGGGACCATATACCATGGGGTAGTTCCAGCTGCAGTGTCTACGAACCTGACCAATTCCACGACTATGTGTTTGAAATATATCAGTAATGGTAGCGTCAGATGTAGGAGGTGTAGGGGGGCATATCACATACGTTCCGGTGGGAAGAGTCCAACGCATAGAGCGTGCTTTAAAGGGGAAATTGCAACAGGCATTGGCTGGGATGTTGTGGCAGACAAAGTAGTAGCCCCAGCAGCCATGGCTGCTATAACCGCGGATGTCGACAGCGGCGACGGCCGCAATGGCAGAGAGAATGGCGAAGATGGCCAATGTTAGCTTCATGTTTGTTTCTCGTGAAGATGGGAAGTACTTGGGTAGGGTGATGAGAGAATATGGAGTGGAATTAGAGGGCAATTTATAGTAAATCGATGAGGTATATTTGATATGAATCGAGGCATATATTTCTAACTAGATACAGACTCAATCTAATCCTGTAGGCATGATATAGAAGTTTCTCGTGAATACGGGGAGATACAGATAGTGTTCCGCTTGCATGATCGTTTGTGACCGGCAGACCTATCTAGGCTCTGCTGCGCACATATTTTCCCTGTTCATGAGGAATATGTGCCGATGCCATGATGCCGGTTCGGGTGTTATCCTAGGTAATCATCCTAAATATCAATTGAATGCTTATATTTATGCTTAATCTAACAACAGGCTCATACGATCTCAAAAACACAAATGTGAAAATGCCAAGTACTCAGGTATGGATATGGCACAGTAAACCTGTAGTAGCACGTTGCTCTTTTGAAGAAATACTGTCAAAGTCAATGCTATCGAGAGTGTGCTTCACATCACGAAATATCAAGTAAGGAGGATTAACAAACAAACCTGCTTATGCCGTGGCCAACGTTTCTTGCTCATCAGGTACCCTTAATCACGCTTTAATCTCTTAAATACGAAGGAGAAACAAGGATTCGATTTACAACCTGAATGCAAATATCCTCAGGTATTGAAGCCTACGAGTAGTCTTAAATTGAGCCGTCTCGGTTCATGTTACCATCACCCTCGATCGAGGTGTCGGAGTACGAATAACACAAGGGATATGTACATACATGTACTCTTGTGAAGCAGAGGCATATTCTCCGTCACCTGAGTACTTTGACGTGGCCCCACGAAAAATACGTTATTTTGATCAGATGAACTTTTAACACTAAGAAATAGACCACTAAAAGTTAAATCTACTGTACCAATGGACAATTATTAACGTTAAGCAGTTGTACGGAAGTTTCCGAGACATAATTTATCAAGCATGGCTTGATGTTGTGCAATCCCAAGTCGGACTATCCAAGCGCTGAGGTACTTGACATTGCACAACCTTAATAATCTATCATGCTGTGCTATTCTCGCTACTCTTTACCCGGCGCGGTGAATATCAGTATTCAGCTACCCGTGACAAAAGTTGTATTCCTTACGCAGGCATTCGGGGACAACCGAGTGCGACAGAAAGGTACCAGTGGAGTGGCTAGGGTGGCTAATGTGAGTAGATTAGTTATATACCCTGTTTCATGAGCCAGGTTGAGCCAGATAGAAAGCGTAAGAACTCAGAGGTTTTTCTTCTGGGAGCATCAATTTTTCGAAACCCGACAGTGGAGAACCTATACAAAAATACGTCTGTCGGAACGGATTTATATAGCGATGGTCTTCCTGTTTTTCCCGCGTTTGTCGCTTGCAGTCAGCACACAGCAAATAAGTCCCGGTGAGAATTCGAAAGCTCGTCGCTTGGTGCTACTATTTCTCGCCATTAAAAGCTAGCCTCTAATCCTTACTACTTGCCAAGCATCGATTGAAGTTAGCGACACGCCACGGATTCCGTTTTTGGTTTTACTTGAAATTTGGAGCAGCGCCACTGTTGTCGATTCATTTATCCTATCTCTCGTGAAGTCTGATTTTATATTATGGCTTACCGTATATTAAGCAGTATCCATCGGTTCCTGGCCGCTCAGATACAGATTCTTGGTGAGACGAGAGCTGTTTGACTATGAAGGCGATGAACACCCCCGGTCAAAAGAATGCGTGACACAACGTTCTGCTGTGCTCTGGACTGCAATATTCAGCCTCGGAGATGCCTTAAAAACTTTGTTTGCAGTGGCCTAGGACGCTTGCACAAATCACCAACACAGACACCGGCAGTAATTGTTAGTGCGCTAACTACATGGACCACAAGCATGGACCCTTTCAGACCAAACCAAAGAACCGTGAGATTCTTTACTTTTCGGAGTTGAAAATACGGTAGTTTTGATATTAAGCGAAGATATGTATGTGATTGGCGAACCATAGGCTATCACTCGGGGTTCGAGCAAGGTAGCTTCTGACTGTAATCTGCCGATCGTTTGTCAGACGAAAGCTTTGAGAAAGATATTTTTCTTTAGCCAAGAGACCTTTAGCGATGTAGAACACAATACATATGTACATGTATTCATTATAACTCGGTACGGAATTGCCTTAGATATATGCATTCAGTAAGTAAGAGAGGCTATGGGAGGACGTCTTACCACTACTGAAGAACGTTAGTGTTAGTCTCACAGGGGCTGAATGCGGAGCTCAGGTATAGGTGGGATAGCCATGAGAACATTACTTACATGCCACCCAAAAGGGTACAATCGTGAACCTCCAAACCGAACACGAAAGTTCTAACCGAGAAAGGGCACGGGATTCTTACCCAAATACCTCTAGAAAGGTGCAAGACTGTAAAGTCGAGGTTAGAAGTTATGGGTTAGTAATGTTTGTTAAGAGAGGAAACGAGGCCGTTGTATGACTTTCCTTCAAAGGGGCGCCGATGTCAAGTCATCGTCAGTTGATCAAAGGTGGAGTATGCGGAAACTACCTGCAAGCAGCAGCCGTAAGAAATGATGACCAAGTTGCTGTGTATATGCTTCTTGTCATGCCTGGAGTAGAACATATAGAGATGTTTAGAAATTTGGAGAGGGCACGAAAATATCGATGGATACTAAGGCGACGTCGCAATAAAATCCGAAGGGGCGCATCCGTACACCACGTGCGCCGCATACGGCACGTTGCACACAAGCTCTAATCATCGCCATAATTACATACCGCTAAAACTCCATCTTCTCTATATACCACTACCGCTCTGGTATATAAAGCTCCTCTACTCGTGAGCTAATTAACATACCGCAGCAATTTTGATTCCTGAGGGTATACAATCGAGGACGGCATTGATGCGATGAGATTAATATGTAAATATGTGAGCGCTGTGATATGAAGAGGGTGTAAGCTGCGGAGTGAATATCGCTAATTTCTACGGAGACATAGTTATTTCACTGAGTTTAGAGTAATGATATCTCTTATCTTGTTGGATACAATTTTGACAAGGCGGCACCTTATATCTGGTCAGCGACGATTGGTTGTCATCCTGAATAAATCTAGAGCCCATGTTGAAGCAATCTAACATAATTAGATGTTTACGACTCATGGTGTGTTGTAGAGGAACTCGTTGGCCTATTATTACGGGTATTTCTAACCATACTCTGTATGTTTTCGAATCCTTTTACCACTATCATCATCGCCTATAGCCTATAGTTTGGTTATTTGTTTTGGTTTTTCTCTAACATTTAAAGATAGTTTCTCTCCGAGCCTCTATATCTAATCCCTCACCTGAATCCAATCCGGCACGAACATATCTCGCATCTCACTTCGCCTCCCATGGTCATCACAACGGGTATCGTCTATTCACTCAGAATCACTGTTATCGCTTACTTTAGACTTACTCAATATTCTAGAACAAAAGCAGGAAACCCTCTCCATTGGACGGCTGAAAATACTATAACGTCTGACCATCGCATGCTTCGGCCCACTCTTGCAGTAGGAAAGATTGCTAACTGAACCTGTATCTGGAGAGGTGGGGATCTGGGCAGATTCTGCGACCTGCTCATACAACTCCTCCATGCGCTCCTGGTCTTCACCATCTAGCTCTCTCTGAAGACCATAGTGGACACGTCTTGCCTCTTCGATATGCTCTAATGTCAATCCAACTGCCATAAGCGTGGCTGGTTCATAAAGATCCACACACTCCAAAATCTCGGCTGCAAGGTCCGCTGGCATTGTTTCGGCTTTTATCTCCTGACATAGCGGCGAAGGGGTACGCTTCCAGGCTCTATTGGGGGCGTTCAATGGCTTGGTACGGTACTCGTGGGAGGCACGTGAAGCGCCCCAGGAGTCTGTCGGTGGGTCTGACCTGCTGGAAGGGTATCCTGGAGTGGAGCTTACCCCGCGATGATGGGTCGATGGAAGCGGCTGGATCTCGGCACTTCTCAGGGAGCTGTAGGGGCCAGAGGCAAATGCGAGGCCTTTGTGGCCCTCATTGTATTCGACAGTTGGATCTGCAAAGAACCCACCAGTTCTAATGTTGTAGAACGTGCGCTGGCCATTGTGGATTGCCTCTACAAAGTCGGGGTTATTTTCGAGAATACGACGATTTTGTTTGGCCCGTTGGCTATATTGGAGGCCTCCGTCAATACAGTGCTCGTATGAATCCATTTTGTTGAGTGAGACAATAACTGTGAGCTCTGTGCTGAAGAATATGATTGCTGGAGATGATACTAACAGATTGAGATGTTGTTGACAGATGAAGTGCGCTTCTTATAAGGAAATTCACTGTCTTATTGATTTAGTCAACATTGAAAGGATTTATTCAAGTTTGTACGGCCAATAGTGGAAAGTACCTGGCCGTTTGAGGATATACCCTAGGTGATGTTCACATGGACTACTTGAAATAAATGTTTCAGCATCTTGGCTTCGCGCCAACACCTATTAGAAAAAGGATGAAAAAATCAACCTCTCGGCTCCAGAAAGCTCACCATAATTGTTCAAAGAATAGGCTCTCAAGAAACGGTACGTATATATACCTACTCGCCTTGAAAATTGATGCCCTATTTCCTGCAAAATCTAGTTTATTTACTGATTCACCCTCAAATATACAGCTAGCAGCGAGTGGATGGTGGAGGAGGTTTTGTAACCATCCACCAGAAAAGGAAGAGAAACCTCGAGGAGGTTATGCCCTTCAATATCTGTTATGGAACTGTATAACGAATCATTTAAAAACCTGTTTTATTTTGTCACTACGGCCAAAATTACCTTGACCAGGGGCTTTGATCATACACGAATGAATTACCAATCGATCAACCGTACCCCAATACCGCTAGGCCATTAGGAGGTTCAGCGTTTCTAACTGCAGCAATATAATGAGCTAAACCTTTTCACTTTGGGCCGACCTGAGGCTTGGCATTCACTCCCACATATCGCAAAGAAAAGGGCATGCACGGTACTATGTAGTATGAAGTATTCAATCAATCAATCAATCAGTTTCAATCATGATATATCACTCGCTCGGCCGGAGGAACACCAGCGATGATTGGGAAAAGGGAAGTCTCCGACCTTTGATAACACCGAGAATTTTTTGGCTTTAGGATCGGGTTTTAGCACGCAGCTTGCCTTACGCGAGAAAGTTCTCTAAATCTCTATCATGGGCAGCTGCGTTAGTCTATGGAGTGTGGAAACGTGTGGAAGCGGGGGGTGAAAGAATATCAAACCAGCCACATCACCGCCACAGGCCCGCTTGCTAACGGTCCGCCATATCAAACTACGCACGTGTATTCACCCCCATGGTTATCATCCCTATGCATGGCGCAAAATCCCTCACAAACTTTCATGCTATGATTCAACATGGACATGAATGTTCTCCAGGATCTAAGCATCCACTTGAATCCCAAGCTTCAAGATGAATCTTCCCTATAAACATCATATATCAAAACACGACAGAACACACCTCTAAGCACTTCCACCACTATTCATTCCTCAGATACTCAAGGCCTAGATCATTTATAACTAACAAACTAACACTTCCAGAAACAAAGGAAAAAAAACAGTAATGTCATCAAACACCAACGAACCCACAAGCCCTCCAAAGCCGCCAGTTCTAAACAACGAGGATCTTAAATCTCGATCCCCTTCACCAGCTCTCACACCCATGTTCCCACCCCACCAGCTAGCCCCAGACGGCTACACCCAACCCGACCGCTTCCCCTACAGCGTCTACCTCCGCTCAAAACACTCCCACCTCTGGGATACCGACACCGATATTGCAGCTGAGGCCTCCAAGATGTCACTCACCGATGTGAGCCCTACCCTTAACCCAGTCGCAGTAGCTATCAAAGCCACCGAAGAATACCTCCGAACACACACACCCACGACAGCTAGCGAGTGCTCTACTCCACCACTCCCGCTTTCCCCGCCATACATAGCGCCCGTCGAGCGCCCAGGTAATACCCGCTACGACCCCGAGCACGGGGGCTGGGTTGCGCGGGCGAAGGGTAAGGGTCCGGCGAAGAAGGTTGCGTTTAATCTGGAGGCGGAAGTGTTGGGCGATGAGAAGCACGAGAAGCACGAGAAATATGAGAAGCAGGATAAAAAGAAAACCAAGGAAGAGGAGAAGAGGGAGAAGAGGAGGGCGGAGTTGAAGGGGAGTATCTCGGAGCCTGTGGGACTGATTGGGCAGGCGAGGAAGAGGAGGGAGGCGAAGAAGGCGGGGCAGGCAGGGTGAGTTTGGTTGCGTGTCAGATTGGTACTAACTTAGTAGGTCTGATTATGTCCAATTTTTAGACCTAGATTTGAGTTTGAAAAGTTTTGTGATGCTAGTATCTCGAATTTGTAGTGGCTAGAGTGATGGTTATTAGATTAGATTATGAGCGGAATAGATCAGATCATTGATAGAGATTATAACACAAATTGCTTCATAGTTGCAAGTCACCAAGTGATTATGATACCTCTGCAACTCTGCGAGTAAATAACCACCTACAAGTATTTATCAATAGAGAGACATCACATATTTCACTAGACAGAAGGTACTAGAGATCAAATATAAAATCAAAAACAGAGATTCTGCTCATCTAAATTCACTATCTAGCCATCTCTCTCCCCAAGATATACCCCCATCTTCAAACACATTCCCACAGATCTAATCCATTCCGTCTCTATCCATCGCTCTCACTCTCCTTCCCACTCGGTCTTAATGCCCAACATCCCTCGTAAATAATTCCACTAGTCTACTTCCAACCGAGACCGGCTCCAGCTGTGAATATCACGCAACTCCTTCTCCGATCAGTTCTTCCTCGCCGGCTTCGGCCTCGGTGTCGGCGGCGCCTTCGGCCTCGGTGTCGGCGGCGCCAACGTAGCCCTTCCCGGCAGCGGCGAAGGGCGTGGACCTCCACCTCCACCTCCACCTCCACCTCCGCCGCCCCGTGGCGGGTTAGGCGCTACCCGTGGGCCCCCGACCCCCCGCAGTAGATTAGGCGCTACCCATTGACCACTCGGCAGACCTACAACCGGCCGTACCTGAAATGATGGTCGTGGTAGTGGGGCTCCGGCCCATTGCGGTCGTGGCGCTGCGGTTTGGCGGGGTGGTGGCGGTGGTGGTGGGACTCCTATTTTTTTGCCTCTTGCGGGGGCGCGTGGGAGGAGGTGGGGGGTTGGGGTAAGAGTGAGAGTGATTGTAGTGGTGGGGGTGGGGTCGTGTGCGGGCACAGGGGTGGTGGCCGCGAGGGTGGCGAGGAGGAGGGGTATGAGGAGGGCGGGAGTAGGGATGTGCATTGTGGTAGATAGTGCGTTAGGTGGTATTCTAAGTGTAAATAAGTGTGTAAAAGGTTTCGAGAAGGGGAGTGTATAGGTTTAAAAGAGCGTGGTATCCTCAGCGCAGCTGTAGGATGTATGAATGAATATGAGTATGATGAGAAGATCTGGAGATCGAATTTAGCAATGGGACTTGCGACAACTTATACCCCTCAGATGAACCATTTCTGATGGCTTTATGTCAAAAGCATTTCATGACCATATCGGTCAGGTTAGTACCTGAGGTCGTAGTGTAACTAGAACTCAGGCAAAACCGGTCAATTGGATCTTATAATCCGATATATTCCAGAATACTACGGAGACAGAGGAACACAGTAATTCTATTGAGCCAGAATTCTATAGGTTCATAAAGAATCTATAATATCAAAAGCATCATTAACTTATAATGTTGGTACCACATTACTCATGTGAGACACCGCCGGACGAAAAGTATAGCAGAGGGCTATGGCCAGAATTCCAAAACAAAGGACCCGGCAGGATTTATATTGAACGGCGAGAGAATAGGGGGCGGTAGAGACTATTCTCAGGCTGCCTCAGAGGGTAAAAATGGACCCGTTGTATTTTCTTTTGAAGAGATTGCAACATACGAGTGCGATAGCACATATTAAGGCTTGTCTCTGAAACCCGATGGTCGCGCGGCCAAACCTATAAGTCGTGTAATTATTATCCCCTAAGCGGTCGCCCAAAATACCGGCCCTCTTGCGTGGGGAGGTTAACAGTGTAGCATTACTAACAGATTTATCAATCGAAACCAATCGCTCGTCTACTTTTTCTTTTTTGGATAGAGACATATACCTGAGGTTAATGATAAATCGTGCACGCCAATTCTTGGCATTGAAATCAATTCGGCGGTCACAAACTATCACTCATCACTTATTAGCAACGGCCGGCTCCGTAACATATATAACGGCATGTCCGGATTGGATTTGTGGTGGGGGAACTTACATCTATGATCTGCATATGCGTAGCTGGATCGCGTATCTGGGTGAAGCAACCGTTTTTTCTTTCTTTCTTTCTTTTTTTTTTCTTTTTCTTCCTTCACTATCAAATTTCTTGATATTGCACCTTTTCCTCTCATGGAAATGTCCGGTTCCCTAGCTCGATATCCCGATCAATCTCGTATATTCCAAATCATGCGTTGGTTCTTTAGACACCGGCATATATCTAGAAAAACTACAACGACCCTAACACGAATTAGAACAACAGGTTTGTACAGTGTCTCAGGTATGTAGTACTCACAATATATGGCCAAAATATCTCACAGCCAGCCAGTATACCAACATTCCACACCGATCTCTCCAAATTCCAAAAAGGGCGTCCAATCATCTGTGAGGGTCGAGAACAGGCCCGACACGATGAAGATCTACATCCAAACCTACGCAATTAGCTTCTCTCTGTAGCAGCTTCAAGTTGAGGTTACTAACCGAGCAGTGTTTTAAAAAAAAAACAGGCCTCGAACCAAGGAGCCACAGCAAGTATTTTGCTCCCAGAAACAGGCGACATACTCTGTTGACCTTCCAGAGATCACTTGTGTTTGACGAGGTCTTGCCAGGTGATAGTGCCCGTTTTACCGAATCGGCCGGGTTTGTTTCCAACATCAGTAGAATCCACAATGTGCATGCACAGAGTGTTCTGGCTGATGCTCTGATGATGGATGGCCATAGAGATGACAAGGAGTATGGCGAGCGTGTGCTGTAATTGTGGGATGGAGTGATACGGGGTTGAGAGCTGTGGATGGACGGGGTCGAGAGAGAGAGGTGTTGCTTCAGAGGTGATCACTCGTGGCCGTGGCTGACTAAACTTTTAAGTGTTTCCAAGCACGCTAGGACTCGCCAAGGGCGGGAGGGGAGCGCTAGACCTGTTTCGGGCCGGCCAAGCCTGTTGCTAAGAACTGTTTTGCACTCTGAACCCGAGAACGCAAAATTGAGTGCTACTACAAGTCTGGAAACACATCGCATCACAACTCCGGATTCATCAACTGTCTCGTACATAAGATAATCGTTTTTATTCCTCATCACCACCACTTTTCACACTTGCACCGCAATTTCATGATCATCAGCACACTTCAATTCCAGACTGTCGCCAGGTCTATAAAAGAAAAATCCCAATATATAAGTACCAAACCACCCATGAGCACAGTACTACACTCCGGAACTAAAGAGAAAGAAAAGAAACAGCCACAAAAAGAAACTCGTCACAAGAAGGAAGAAAGGCCCCTTCATATCTATACATGATCCTCCAGCTACTAACAGCTAGCCAATCTAGTTCCTCTTCTTGCCACCGCCATACCTAACCTTCCCGTTCCTCGTCGCCGGCTTAGCCTGACCCTTCCCCTTCTTGCCCCCCTTCTTCGCCCCCGCACTCTGCCTCCTCACCCCCTTGTTCCCGCCCTTCTTCTTCTGCTTCTGCTGCGGCCACTGCCCGTTCTTGTTGCCATTGACCTTCTTCTTGTTCCCCTTGCCGCGCCCACTCTGCACCCTCGTGCCCTTCCCCCTGCTGCCCCCCCTCTGCCTTCCACCGCCCTGCTGCCTCCCCATCCCCTGCTGCTGCGGCATCCCCTGCGGCGGCATCGACGGATCCGGCACCATTCCACCCGCGGCAGCGCCCGCAGCGCCCGCAGCAGTGCCAACAGCGTCAGCGACCCCAGCAGCGCCCGCAGCGGCCCCAGTGGCGGCGTCAGCTACGCCGGTTGTGGCATCGGTGGCAGCGGCAGCGGCGTCGGTGCCGGCGCTGGCGAGCTCGTCGGCGGCACCGAGGGCGGCGTCGGCGGTGCCGGCTGTGGTGGCGAGCGCGCCGGTTGCGGCGCCGGCGGCGCCGGCGGCAGGAACGGCGGCGTGGACGCTGACGGCGAGGGCCGCGAGGAGGAGGGCGAGGTAGTTGCGGGTGTACATTTTGTTTGTGTTTTGGGGTATTAAAAGGAGTGGATGTAGTTGGTGGTGGAGTGTGCTATGAAAGAAATATGATAAAAAAAAAAAAAGACTAGCTTTTTGTAGAAACGGACTGGAAAAGAATGGAAATGTCTAGAGCACAGCTCGAAGAGACGATTGGTTGGAAAGGAAAGGAATGTGGTGGTGAAGGCTGATGGTGAGTGAGTGAGTGCTTGGGGAGAGGAATGCTAAGCCGTTATATATCCCTTCCTGGCCGCTCTACCGGGCACTACTGTATTACTGTGCACTGTCTATACTAGCATGGCAAACACACCTACCTCCCCCGGGCCCTACTAGCCTCCACTGCAACTGATACTGAAGCACCCACCGCGGTCAGGACGTGTGTCCCTGATCTGCTTGCTCTACACCGGCGTGAAGTAGTAGCGCCATACGCATGTGCGTGTGCCTGTACGTACTATGTATATATGGAGACACTTAAAACAGCGGCGTTGTCCATGCTCTGCAGCTGGCTCTACGGTGTGGTTGTGGTTGTGGTGCGGCGTCGACGCGGCACACAAGCCGCACACTTTACCGGTGGCAGAGATCATTACCCTTTGTGTGTGGCGAGTGCGTGCGTGTGGCGAGTGTGGGCGTGGGTGTGGGTGTGTGTGGCGCTAGCACTGATACGCAGAGGCACAGTTTCGATTGGCCAATGGGGCACCGGGTGCTGTCTTGGTTCTGTACCGACTGTTCGGGAGATCGACCTTGGAGGGAGGGATTGGCCGATTAAGCGAATCTTGGGACCTCTCTTGCAATTGCCCTGTGGCCACCGTGGATAACCAGTCCACTCGGTCGCTCTCTCAACTAAACTCCTATTTTGGAATTAAATGATCGGAGTTATAATCTGTGATCCAATCGAATGTAACTAACACTGTAGCTGTAGCCAGAACAGATATGCCAGTCGACTAGCAGTATATTTTTTCTTCCGAAATCACTCGATCCATCTACACACGAACCCAATCGTGGCCTTCACAAAACCACCCCCCCCCCCCCCAATCAACAGACCGTACTACTCCACGGCCAACTACTACTAAGACCTCACACTCCTGATGCCCAATCTATTAATACCCCCCGCCACCACTCGAACGCCCAACATCAGGCTGACTTACTTTATACCTACTTCACGGCGCCGGCGCGGGGGGGGAGGGGGGGGGGGGGAACATAAAGTATTTAAAGGCGGGCGTGCAGATATGTCGTCCCACTTTCTTTTGTTTCCTTTCTGCACTTTTTCTTTGGCGTTGATCCGGCCGAGGAGGGTGGTTGGCGGTGGGACAGGCCGGGCGGGGCACAGCTGCATGGTTTCACGGAAGGCTTCTGGAAGATGGCTGGCTGTTTCAGCTGGTGGATACATAGTACTCTACTCACGGTTGAACTGGACCTGGCATGCAGTCAGGCTCTACTGTATTGTCCGGATCTAGATCTAGATCTAGGCAGGCCGCATGAGAATCACAATCACAATCACAATCACAAAAAACAAACTCAAATCAAGCTCCAAGGTATAAGAATTTCATAATGACATTCAACGTCCCTAACCGTGCTACCGCCCCCGTCCCAACGCCCCCTCTCCCTCCCTCCCTACATGCCTAAACTTCTATCCGCAAACATGCGACGAAAACAAAACCGCGCCCCATCACAAAAAAAGAAAGAAAGCCAAAAAAGATCCCAGCCCTCCAAAATCAAGAAAGAAAGAAGAAGAAAAAAAAAAGATCCAACTATCTAGTAAGCCGGCACCTCCTCAGCAGGAGCCGCCTCAGAATCCGCGGCCGCAGGCACATCAGCCGGAGGCATCTCGGCCGCCGGAGGAGGAGGTGGTGGTGGCGCACCACCACCTGGCGCACCGCCCATCCCCATCCGTCCCTTACCGCCCCTGGGGCCCCCCATGCCCTTCTGACCACCGCGTCCAGGGCGCCCACCCGGGCGCCCCCCCGCACGGCCCGGGCGGCCCCTGGGGCCACCACGCGGGCCACCGCGGCCCTTGCCGCCCTTACGGACCGGCCTACCGGCACGAGGAGGCCTCCTGCCCATCCCGCCTCGGCCCTTTGGCCTGGCCTTGACACCACGGACGCCGCCGCGCCTGGGTCTGCCTGCGGCGGCTCTGGGGGGGCGCTTGCCGGGCTCGGCGAGCGGCATGGCCCAGCGGGCGGCGAGCGTGGGGCCGTTGCTGGCGACGTCGCGCGGCACTTTGGCGGGGGCTTTGGCGGGGGTGGCGTCGTCGTCGCCGAATGAGACTTTGACGCTGCCGGCGGAGGCGGTCACGGCGAGGACGGCCATGAGGAGGGCGACGAGCTTGGGGGTGTACATTGCGATTGGCTTGGTTTGGTTTGGTTTGTGGGTTGGGATAAAGTGGAGGTGGAAGGTGGAGGTGAAGGAATGTGGTGCTAGCTAGCTAGGTAGTTGGATTGTGGTAAAAAAAGAATGTATGAGTCTCTGCAAGCACAGCTGCGAGATCTGGAAAAGGAAAGTAAAGAAAGGAAGGACTGCGGTTGGAAGGAGCGTACTGAGTGAGTGAATGACTGGAGAAGGGGAAAAAAGAGAAGAGCAGATGGGGATAGTTATACGCCGACGAGCTGCTTGACCGGTGCCACGGAAACCGTGGATTCCGTGGTGCCATTACTGTGTTGGCGATAATGTCGCTGCGGAGATCGCTATTGCCTACCTGGATATCGGACTGTCATGATGCCATCTGTCGTATCGTCAAGCCCACACCATCCCATCCCATCCCATCTCGTACCGTACCGTACCGCACATACCGAGCAAGACTGCCAGGACCACGGCCCCCAACCGACCGGTGCAGATAGACATGCGTGCGTGTAGCAGGCAGCTATAGGATGCAGCCCTATTAATCAATCCAATCAACCCATCCCAACCCAATCAATCGTGAACCTTTTTCTTCTCCTCTCGCTACATACATATGCACTGCGGTGAGTGCTGCCATGGTGTTGTGGTATGTCAGTGATAAAGATAGCACTTCACTCAACTGTGCCGCATCTCTCTCCCTCTCTTTCTCTCACTCACTCACTCACACCGGGCCGGTTACGAACTGGAGGTTAGCGAGGAGCGTCCCGGGGATGCGTGCAGTTGTTGGCCCCACGTTTGGCCGTGGCACGGTGGTGGTGCCCGGTGGTGGTGGGGCTGTGGTTGGGTGGACAGGGGGGGAGGATAAGGGATCTGATTAGATTAGATTTGGATGCTTGGCGGGTGGGGGGAGTGGCCGTGAGGTACATAGAGAACTACCTGGGGTACATGTAAGCGTGTTATTCTTTGCCTCCGTAGGTGTTGCATAGAGTAGAGTCTGTTCTGTTCGTGATTCCGATTTCGAAGTGAGACATTTCTCCATAGGTAACCATCAATGAAGAATAAGATCAATGACCTATCTTCTTTTATATATAGTCACCAACTACATGTATATTATACATTTTTCCTTATTTTGAATCTCAACATTAATAACATCAAGAATACGGGTGCGCCACACTGCGCACTGACATTAAAACTAAATCACAAACACTTTTGCTGAGTGGCTGTACTTCGAAGACCAAGACGAAGTTAACAGCGATCCGGGAAAACCTTGCTTAGGAATGGAATTCGCGTGTTTCGAACTCTCATATTGACACAAACGCTTTAGCCGATTGTTTTCCACTCAGGCGTAGCATAAAGGTTGCTGTTGCCAAGTTTTTCTAGATCGCCGCCTCGGTCATCTTGGGCGCATGACTAAGCGGAATACATGGCCGGCGTCGTTTGCTTGGCGTTTCCGGCGGGCATGGACACGTGTGCAAGGCGGGCACATTTCTAGATTTTGGTATAGGTTCTCCAGCTATCATCATCATCAAAATATAGTCATCGTCGGGGAATGTAGAAAACAGCCTTGCGAATACCCAGCACGCAGGACAATCCCACGTGGAAAGGTGAAGACCTAGGTAAGCTCCGAAGGTTTTCTAGAAGCTTTGATTTACTTGATCCGTGGATTGATGGAAGCTTCTCTCTGACATTCCTTGGCTAGGGTCTACCCCCCCCAACATTGACCCACCGCCGGCCATCTCCTCAAGCCCGCATGCACAAGCTGCACAGTTTATCCGCATGGCATTTAGCCGGCCTGGTTCTGTGTCTATTTCTGGATCGATGTCCGCTCTGGTGGGGGCGGGGCGGGCATAGCTGTGGAGGGAACGTATAGATGATGTAAGCTGTCTACGCTGACCCTTTTTCGGGGGCAGAAAACCCGAGAGATTTGCCAAGACCAAATAACTGATCAGGATTAGTTCGCAGCAGCCACCCATCCTTGGCCGCCCCCCCACGAAAAATATCAGAATTAATAACCTCCAACACGCATACTGCAACGGACCGGTTGAGCCACACACAACGCCTGGTAGGGCGTAGATGAGTAGCATCTAAAGTGAGGAGTTTACTCTGGCTACATCCGCATATGCCGTGGTGTTACCATCATGCAGTCACGGTCATTTACCGCCTTACTATGCTTCCCCATTGAAATTTATCCGGGATGGGATTGTGGAAAATGCCTTCGCCAGAACACTGGAGGTTTCTAAAATGGAAGCAGATCGGGATTTTTTTTGTTGATCCACCGACGCCCGTTGAGTTGGTCGGTCGAGTGCTGCTAAAGCGAGATGGAATTCGAGTGATATCGCATGCTTCAGGCGCGGGCGGCAGGGTACATACAAACCTAGCCCTGACAGCGAATATGTGCCTAACCTTTGGATTTACCCTGTGGCCAACCTTAACGATAAACTGCACGCTCTATTTAATGAGGACCGATCGGGTACGTGCTTGTCTCCGCTTGGAGTATGCGGGGTCCCGCTAACATAAAACTCTGTGATGGAGAAAGAACAGGCCGATTTCAATTTTCAATACAATTTCTCGGGCTGTAGCTGTACAGTACAGTCTGGCTATAAGGATTTGATATGAAGATGCAAAATTTTGATGCCATAAATACTCTTAGAGTGTATTCATCCTGATAAGAAGTGCCCGCGCAGTTCACTAAAAAATAATCCCTGTCGGGACCGAAGATACATATCCTTCTAGGCTCACAGGTCGAATATCCTTATCACGACATTGTACTGTATATATCTACAGCAAATACTGTTCAAAGGTTTTGAAAATAACAGCATCGGTGGCGCGTTGTGCGTTGTGCGCGCGCCTCCACACCGGCCCGCAAAAGGCCGCGCGTCCCTAACCCTCGTTTTCAAAACCCTTGCCACACACACGTCAACTGTGCCTTCTGTCTAGATACGACCGAAATAAGGACTGATGCATGCGGCTCTTCGGATCTCCTTTTGAGAGCCTCATCACCGTTGCATGTACGTACATGTCATCTCGGTGGTGGTGCATAACCGGGCGTGGGGGCGTATGCGTTAAGGACTTTTGGTGGGTATTCTTGTCCGGGCATGGGGAATGGTGATGAGCATGATGGATTTGCTAAAATGGTGGTTTTTAGTCTCGCCATTAGAAGAGAGTGCGCGCCTTTGGCCTGGATCTATGTATAGTTGTGGAGATTTTTACGGCTAGTATTTGGTAGTCTGGATGATAAACCCTGAGGGTACCACACTCGGGGACCCACAGCGTTAACGACACTCGTCAAAAAATGACGCCACAATATTGATAATATATTTCACCATAGATATGCATCCATGCAGTGCTCTACTAACTACATATATTAACGTCTACCCCACATGTCTTAGAATAGTACACGAGTTGATCCGCACAGCCCAATTGCAGCCTGGAATAATTGCCCTTCTAGCAAAAGAACGGCGCATGAATGTCGTGCTGCTGAAAAAAATGTGATATTTCGTGGCCGGCTCGGCGAGTGTTTTGGAGGACCGGTACGGGATTTAGAGGATTTAGTTGCTGGAGGTTTGGTGGTGGTATGGCTGTTTAGTGGGTTGGCCTTTGGCAATTGCTTAAACCGTGAGTATCAAAAATGATTGGAGAGATTGGGCTAACGTCTCCTTCGCATGCATAGATCCGGGTATCAGACCCAAGACCCCAAATAGATCTACGCCTTTCAATCAGCACCACCTCCATGCTATCAGGACTCCACCTGCGTTACGGAGGCGTGACAGGACCATGCCCATGGCCAGCCGGTGGATAGTCAGGAAGATCGACTCCGTCGATACCGATGCATCAAGAAACACAATTCCCGGGCCCACCCACAAAGCATCACGGAGTCTCTCACCACGCCGCCGCTGCCGTCGCACCCATTAGCTACACCGCGGACGTTAGTCCGAACTCCGTCTATCATTCTAGCACATTTCACAACAAAAAGAAGATGTATATAACATCCCCTTTCACCACTCACCACCAACTTCCTCTCACCACTCACCACACTCATTCACACCATCGATCCAGTCTCTTAAGCAGTGCTTGAGGCATCCCTTCTTTTCTTTTCTTTCATTTTTTTGCACATCCAACGTCTACAAAGCAGCGCTTTAGACCCCACACTCCTTCATTTATTTTTTACCTTACTCCACCCTACACACAACCGCCATGCACACCCAAACCCTCCTCGTCGGCCTCGTCGCCGCCCTCGCCATGACCGTCTCCGCAGCCCCCACCCCTAGCTCCTCCTCCTCCACACACCTCTCCGCCCGCTCCCTCCCACTCGCAGCCCGCAACCCCCCAAACCGCGACTCCACCAGCGGGCCCTCGCACCCCCCGGGCCAGCCACAAAGGGGCGGCGGCAACAATAACAATAACAACAATAACAACAACAACAACAACAACCGCGACAACAAGCCGCCCAAGGGCAAACGATCCCCCGATGATGATGAATCCGAGATGCTCGATGACCCCGCCGGTGCGTTTGATGACAGTGATGATGTCATCCCACCGCCGAAAATGAGGAGGAGTCCCGGTGGCGGGATGGGCGGTGGCGATAAGAAGGGAGGTCATGGAGGCCCTGGCGGATCTGGAGGGCCTGGCGGGTCTGGAGGCCCTGGCGGATCTGGAGGGCCTGGCGGGTCTGGAGGCCCTGGTGGACCTGGTGGATCAGGTGGGTCAGGCGGGAAAGGCGGGAAAGGCGGGAAAGGTGGACCAAGGGGTGGGTCTGGCGGACCGAAAGGTGGGCCAGGCGGATCAGGTGGACCGGGTGGTCAAGGTGGACCCGGTGGACAAGGTGGACAAGGTGGGCCGAAGGGCGGACCGAAAGGTGGACAAGGCGGATCTGGTGGACCAGACGGAGCTGGCGGACCAGGCGGGGCTGGTGGTCCGGGTGCGGGTGGACCAGGCGCGGGTGGACCGGGTGCAGGAGGACCGGGTGCAGGGGGTCCGGGTGCGGGAGGTCCGGGTGGAGCTGATGCAGCGGGGGGACCAGGTGGAGCTGAGCCAGCGGGTGGGGCGGGTGGTAGCGATTAAGGGTAGAGACGGTAGAGATTCATAGATAGATATAGATAAAGCTGCACGATTGTGCTCGAGATTAACTCGAGCTTTTTGGTAGTTCTGAAATACATGTATTGATTCTAGAACGCTTTCAATGGCAGTATGAATTTCTTTGAAAGTGACTTTATGGCTTTACAAATTGGTAGTGATTTATAGACGGGAACAGTCTAGAATAACACACTTATAATTCAGACTAGTGTAGTCCGAACTAGGATTGATAGACAAATGCATTAATACGTAGTTGGCTGTCGTTTCTATTTCATTATTAAAACCCACAATCCTAGATAAAAACATCATACAAAGCCACTCAGTAAGCCCACATCACCGCAATCTATTCACAATCGGCACGTTGACAATCACCCGAGTGTCGATCGTCGACTCTTGGCAGCGAGTGATATTCCATGATTGGACCGCCATCATCATTCACAGCTTATTAGAGGGGATATAAGTGTATTGAAGCACTTGAGTTCACAAGGTTTTATTGTTCATTTATTAATCGATAGAAAAACATTTGGAAAAAAATCAAAATCAAATCTGATCAACTGTCCATCTCAACAAAGGAAAAGTCTGCTGCGCTGTCTATAATGAAAATGTCTCGAAGGGGAAAAAAAAAAAAAGACATACTCAACACAACACAATTGAACCGTCGACAATATTAATATGCAGAAACAAATGAAGCCCTCAACAACAACGCAGAGCAGATCAAGCTCGCAGAAAACTCTCAACTCAACTCAAAGTCCATCTCTCATCTCTCGTCACTCGAGAACCTACCCGCCCACTCAACACAGAAACCTATCCAATAACCCCCCAAGCTCCCCTACCCTACCCTACCCAATCTAAACTCCCCCTCCCTCCCTCCTCCTCCTCACCACCCCCCTCGCCGGCTCACTCCCCATCTGCAGCACCGGATACGCATAATCCGCCGTGCTCCCCTTCGCGCCGAGGTCCTTCTCGACACCGCGGTACCGTGCGCCCAGGCTCGGGTCGTTCCAGCGGTACCGCATCTTGCCCAGCGAGTTGAGCGTCTTCTGGTTCGGCGGGGCGGTCAGTGCCGGGAGCGGCACCCGTCCACGGGGGGGAGTGCACGGCGCTGTTGACGCTGTGGAGACGGCGGTGGTGGTGCTGGTGGTGGTGGGGCGGTGGAAGGGGGGGATCTCGCGGAGGGGTGCGCCGGGGACTGTTGCGCCGGCGGCGGAGGAGGAGGTGGTGGGGCGCTGGGGGGTCTTGGGGGCGGTGAACATGGTGGTGGTGGTTGTTGGTGGTGGTGGTGGTGGTGGTGGGATGGTGGAGTAGGTTGGTATGGCTGGATTGGTTGGTGTATCTGGTTGGTAGTACTCAAGACAGCTGGATGATACTGATGAATGTTGGAGGAGGACGAACAAGGTCTTATAAATACACCGCCCTCACCTCTCCGTAGAATTCAAGAATCCAAGAAGAAGAAAAAAAACCCACATCTTGAGGGTGTCATAGTATTGACGGTGGTGGTGGTAGTTGCTTGAAAGCTATGGCTGGTTCGGGGAAGTCTACGTGGAGCTCTCTCTGGTTGCTGGGAGAATTCATGTTGTCGCTGCTCTTCAAAACTTTCAATGGCCTTGGAGGGTCGGGCGGGGTTTTCTTTGTTCAAGGCTTCTATGGATTTCAACTGCAAGCAAGGCTAACGGGGGAATACCATGGCAACTATGGGCACAACAGACAAATTGAAAATTGAAAATGTGCTTTTCAACTGTAGAACACAAGTGGGCATTCCATTTCAACTGGAAAATCCAATACTATACACGCACCTATCTATGTACTATCTGCACCAGACGAGTACATTTCAAAGAAGCAGGCGGGCGAATGGGCTAACAAATCAGTAGCAACCTGAGGATTTGGTATCGTCACATACAACCCTACCGAGAGAAAAAAAAAATCGAGTGCTCACTCAATACTCTCCAAGTAGAGAGAGTATTATGAAAAAGTACCGAGCAACTGACATTAACACCAGTTACTCAGAAATATATAGGCTCGACCCCGGGTTTGAACCGGGGACCTCTCGCATATTAACTTAGAGTGCGACCCTAAGCGAGAATCATACCACTAGACCAGCCGAGCTTGTAACACAGCCAACTTTTAGCGTATAAATTTCTCAAAATACCTACTAGCTCGTCCCCTAGCCTAACAAATAATCCCTGTCAAAAGGAATTGTTGAAGTTTACCGTGGGTTCTTTGTCTGCGTGCTTGCGTGATCAAACTCACGACTAAAAGTGGCCGCTTAATCACTTCGGGAAATGGGACAAATGCTCTTTTGGTCAATATATTGGCAAGTTGAGATACGTTGTACGCAATCCGAGTCGGTGCTTTCAATTTAAAGCGACGACAAACAACCTCATCTAATCTATGAGTCCGCTACATATACACATCCCCGAATCGAATCCTTGACACTCATTAACGCCTACAAATGAACTCTATAGACATACCAACTCCCTACCGCCCCACTGTTCTTCTCCGTCAAGGGGATTATATCGCACACTGAGCTGATACATATATATAGCTCCAGTCGCCCTAATCCCCCCCGTACCCCAACCACTCCTGGTTATCAGAAGCGTCATCATAATACTGCATGTGCTCATCCTGGTGCCGATGACCCTCATACCTATCATAATGGTGAGGTTTCGTACGGTTCAGAGAATCCAATTCATCCTGTAAGTTATCACGATCTTTATTTAGATCAAGGATCGCAATATTCAATTTATCGTGTTCTCTCGCGATATTTTGATACTCCCTTGTACCCTTTCTATAGGATCTAGCCTGACGAGCTAGGAGATCACGCCTAACCTCCTTGGCGATTATTTCGTCGTGGACTTTCAGGAGGCGCGCTTCGACTCTTCGGATTTTTTGTCTGAGTGTGCTGGCCATTGGTATTTGAGTTGGTGTTAAAAGTTAAAGATAAAAGTTAAAGATAAAAGTTAAAGTTGGCTTTATGTTGTTTAATTTGTTTGATGTGGATGTGATGAGGTGGTGTTAGTGTAAAAAAGTCATACCTGCGGTTTAAGTATTAGCTTGCTTTGTTGATATTGTTTTCAAAATGACGGGGGGATAGGGCCATACAAGCTTCGAACTTCGAGTCGAATGGATACTCTGGTTTTTCAAAGACTGTATATTTCAATTTCAAGATTTCTTGTAGACGGGAAGAGCTGGCACCAATGATCATTTTCCGTAAGCTAGTGATAGAGCATCTTGTATTGCTGAATTGGTCAATCACTCACCTTCGTCGGACAAAACGAGGGGTATATCCATTTCCTATTCGTTGCGTCGATGGACAGAAGACTTTGTAGGAATTTATGCCTATGATACGGGAAACTGGACGACACGAAGCGCAAAATATAGGTGTACTAGAGCTACAAGACACGTTGACAGGAGACACGTGTCGATGATATTCATATGAGAGAGCCAGATGACAATCAGACTTTGATAGCCTTCGCGGCTGCCGGTTTGTTTATATGCGAATGAGCTTTAATTCGGTGCAATAGCAACTAAAACAGGTTAGCATTCCAATGATTTTCAGTAACCTTAACACTCAATCGTTGAAGAAACCTAGAACCGATATATTAAAGGCCAAATGCCGTGAATATGGCTGCTCTTAAACGGGAGGCTTGATTTTATTTATGGTCACATGGTGTCACTCGGTAGCGATGTTGTCGAAGTTTTTTATTCGTAGACTAAAATGATCCGTTTGTCAAAGCAGTTGCACATACAAGGTGAGTTTGCGTAGACTGGATACATGATATGTGGTTGAGAATGCCTCTAGAGAAATGCGCCGTGGAATTGTAACGAAATGGGTGGAACACAAAAAATATAAATGTGTCAACCTCAAAACCGACGACGCCTCTCCATCTCACAAGCCATCAGTGCTGTTGCCCTTACTCATGACCACGTTAAGAGAATACCCCAGAGAAACCGGGCAGCAGTGAGAGGGAGATTCCCTACTCTTCACCACCCATCTTTCCCTTCTCGCTCCCATCCCTCGCCTCCTCCGGTTGCTCCGGATGGTCTGGGGAAGCATCCTTCTCACTCTTTGCCAACACCCATTGACGCATTTCCTCCTTCGTCAGCATTGGATAGCTGTCCATCTTCTTCCAAGCCTCCAACGAGTCCCCACCCTCGTTGATTGTCTGGATCATTTCCTCAATCGCCTCGATAGAACGGAAATACTCCTGGTTGGGTTTATCGGGGAAGGGGACTGTGTTGTCCCGCGTGAAGAGTTTGATGAGATTCAATCCAAGCGGATCGATTACTGGGGGCGTAGGAGGACCCAGAGTGGAAGCACGTTCGTTCGTTTCCTTTGTCATTGGTTCTCCCACGGCGTTAGTCTTTTCGATATCTTCTTCCATCGATTTGAGGTCACTTTCTTTCATCATAGGCTTGGCTCCAGTTTCACAGGGGGTTTCAGAGTGTTTGATGATGGTGAGATTCTTGGTATCCTTAAGGACATCGGGCTTTCCTACAGAGGTTTTCGGGGCTGGTCTGGATGATGACATTGTTTCTCTCTATACTAGTTAGTGGAAGAATAGGGGGGTAGCGGATCGGAGGTGGTTTCTTACAGGTTACTTGTAGATTTGAGGTGTTAACGAGATGAGTAGAAACCGAAAGTATCAGTAACAACCTTCTATCTATCATTAGCTGGCATTTGGCTGCGATATTTTATCATATACAAACCTTTAGGTTAAGACCCACCCTCGAGAAAGTCGTTTGGCGACGATGTTGAAAGTTCTCATGAAAGGAGCAGACACAAGCACAGGTTGTTGCAATGAATATGATGTCTCGAAGTTGGGTGGAAATAAACAGAACTAATAAAATTTACACAATGCTTTAATTTAGTATGTCAGGAATTATGTAAATAAATTCTATAGCGGCTGGAAAAGCCCTAAATTGTAATTGATTTTCTTATTTAGGTTGGCCGCATATGACCGTCACTGTCTATAAAGCCCTCTTTTTACTACGTTACCGGAGAGAGTTTACGTCACTGCATGTTAGGCGGGTATGTAGTATACATTGATCATGCATGAAACATCCCCGGCCATGGACACATGGGGAAACAACTCAAGTATGCATGCTTTATAAAGGTTGTCTAGAATTCACCGATCAAGCAACGTACGCGATATCGATAATCAATTATTGCTTGTCTATAAATTGCAACCATACATAAAACTCGATTCAAAGGCGCATGCGCGCACACACACAACAGTACTACCTGGCCTCCAATCAAAGCACGTACGTGTACCTAATTCGTTACTCAAACACAATCAATGTTCAAGTCCAAGCTTCCAAGCGTCTCCTCGAGATCAAGCTTCTCTTCGAATCCCTCTGCTTCTGCAACCATATCACCAAATATGACCAGCGCGTAATCGCAATCCGCCACCCCGCGCATTGCTCTCTCAAACTCCTTCCTCAACCTAGACGCAGCTTCGCTATAGTTATCAACATTATCCTTCACCGCCCCCTGACCATTATTCGCCACCAGACTATCCTTCTGTACCTGCTTTGCATCGCTCATCAAGCCACGAATCCTCGCTAGCCTTTTAGTTATCTCCATCGCTTCGTCGAGGTAAAATTTGGACAGAGCCTGGACGCCATTGGTAATCATATCAAAGAATTTGATACGATCAGCGAAGGGGACGGGATTGGCGGCGTGGCTATCAAGCGCCACTTGAATGCGACTCTCGTAATTGTAGTCGAGAGTATCAAGGACTCTGTTGCGGGTTGTCATTTTGAATTTTGGAGCGTTTTTGTTACTGATTTAATTTGGATAATTTTGTGTGTGGGATGTGGATGTAGGCGGTTGGTGCTGTACGAGTTTGGTTGAGGATTTGATGCAAGCTTATAATTTAGAATAGGTCTTATTATATATTGATTTCTATATGGCTTTCAAAAGTAACTCAATATGACTATATTTCAAAGTTGAAACGACTGCTAAGATTAAGATTCAAGATCGAACCCTAACTAAATTAGCTGCGAAGGGACAATCCAGTGGCTCAGTACTTACAGTACTGACAGGCGGTCTTTACAATTGATTATAACCAGGCTAGTTGGAAATAATACAGATATAGATGGAAGAGGGGCCCGATACTAGATGTATAGAAAGAAACGAAGTATCTAGCTCAGTCTCTAGATATAATTTACTTCACACAACCGGACCGCGCGACCAACGAAACAGCTGGACTGACACGAGTCCGAGCTGCCTCCTTTACCGGCCGTGGCTATAAGTTAAGAGTAGACCATATATGCATAACTAAGTACTAAGCTGATTGGTTATATGTCTATAGTAAATTATAAACTAAATTAATTAAAATCACTCTTTAAATTATTTTAGTAACTAGAAATTCATAAAAATCCTATTCTCACCCGATTAACCGCTCTAACCGAACAAACTAGTCGTTCAAACGGCTTTAACTAAATAACCCAGTAAAAATAAAAATGATCCCGAGTGATATACTATGATGTTTCTAGTAAACGAGTGATATATCGTGAAGAAAAAGACTCGCGAATGAACTCAGCTAGCAGTTTAGTATGCGCATCGATTCAAGATACACCTAGAATACAGAATACCTACATTTCATATGATCGTTCATGGTCTGACCTGATCCGGCGCGAAAAAGAATTGTGTTCTCTCAACCTAGAACAAGTATTTGGAATCATTGATCTACACGCAATCTCCTATAAGTACAGTCAATAGCACACTTTAGGGTTAGCAAGCCTACCAAACAGTATGTTTTCATCCTCAAGGCGCCAAGGCCGGCAAAATCTTTCAAACAATACTTTACAGCCACCACCAGAGGGCCCCATTTCATCTGATAGATATAGTGTTTAGCGAAGTACAGAATAAATTCACATCGGTATTGTGAGTTATCAAAATTATCCGGACACTCGCGTCACAACCAACTAAATTGGCTACAATAATCAAATTTTGAAACCACTTCAATTGGCCTCATATTGAAGCCTGAGATAATAGAGGCATAAAGAATCACAAAATGAAATCTCTTGTCTTCTCGCCTCGTGGTTGTGGAGAAAGGTGATGTTGAAGTTATTTTATTACAACAAGCGTCCGGATAATTTTAATAACTCGCAATACCTTCATAGGCATAGGTAGTAACATAACATATTGTGTAATATCAATATATCATTCTACCCGAGGACACATAAGTTCAGAGCTTTGTCCAGATGTTATAAGAGTACAGCGGATTAGTATTGGGAGTACAGTCGGCGATATATGATCTTCCAGCCACTAACTACATGTAACTGTGTGGACCTTTTCGGGTGCTTTACGTTCGGTCTCTAAAAAGGGATTTATTTGCAATTTATTGGTATGATACAAAATGGTTAAACCACAATCACTGTGGTGGTCTTTCTTTCAATAGAAATATAATAGCAATCGGCCAAAAACCAAACCCTCAAGTCTCACTATACATCCTCTCTTGTGCTCATCCACTCACTATAAATCGTATCCATCACTTTTCTCCGCTCCACCCACTCCTGGAGTACTTTATTCAATGAGGCGGTCACATATTGCCTTCTAAGCATTGTGGCCGGCTCTTTATCACTCCAGGTTAGATTCTTATAATTGTAGTTTTTGATCTCACGTTTGAAATCGGCGCTTTCAACAGCTTTCCCGTCAAATGTATAGGTATCCCATCCACTGTAGTCTTCATCATCGACCGGCGTGGATGCGTTCTTCTCGGCTTCGTAGTCCAGGACTTCCTGAAGAAAGTCTATTTTGGTGAAAATAGAGTCGCCACGGGTGATTAACGGGAAATTTTGCCAGACAGCGGGAGGAGTCCCCGAAAAGAGGTACCTATTGATCGCCTCCCAGGCATTGGCGCGATCATTGGGATCGGTGTTAGGGTCTTTGACCCGCGAGAGGAGATGAAGGACTGCGGCAATTTTGTTGCTCGGTTGCTGGGGTGAGTTTGACGACATTTTTCCGCTCTATATATATACCAAGTGATATTAAGGCTTGGTTTTATGGACAGGGCCCAACTTGAGTAGATGAGCTAAAGGGAAGTGAGCTGTTAAATAAGCAGATCTTTGGGTCTGTGGCGTGGGGTGGCTCTTTGTTTGATACGATGGCTTAAGGGCATTGAGATGGTGAACTCTATTTGTCGTGGGGGAGGTGGTTTCTAGTACAAAGGAATTCGAATGTTTGACGTCCAGAATAAAGAGCATTATCGAATTCTCGTTTTAGAGCGATACCGAAAGCGCTCGAGTTCACCATTCGAGGCTAACAAGATGTATATGTTACCTACATCCAAACACTCAGCTGATCAGACTAACTTTGAAAATTTACCGTGAGCATTTTTATTATTGCGATTAAAACATTTTATGTTCGATATATGAATGTCAGCCAGCTTAAGTACTAAGCTACATGTATGTAAGTACATACATGTATACTACCGCCGGAACCGTAGGGCGGCACCTCTGTCAGCCGTATGCATGACGGGACGTCATGTCATGGCACGACCGACATTAGAGTCAACCTCGAGCCCTACATACTTCAAACAACCACATACTCATCCCCTCATAACCGCAGCGAATCGCTTCATCCGAGCAACTCATCATCCAAATTTATCTTGCGATATCATCAGCTACCTAAAGATGGATTTTCCGAAGGCAAATATGAGAAAAAATGACGGTTCTTTACGTTCTCCCCCATATGTTAATGGGTACAAGCAACAAAGATCTGCTTGCCTGAAGTCCGCGAGTACTGCTAGCATCATTAAAGCACAACGCTACCCTCAAAGCCGTGGAAGAAATCTCGATAGTATAGATATCTCTAGTCGCGTTGTGGAGAGGACGATTGCCAGGTTGATTGAATTATTGGTTCCAAACAAAGAGGAGTGCGAAAAGGCAAGAGCCAGAGGAGATTGCGTGTTTACAACGAAGATGACAGATACAGGTAAGATGGTAAATCCTTTCCGAATGTGCCGTTACCAACCTTTCAACAGGCAGCATTGTGGAAGTATTCTTCAAAATCGACTTGAATGGATGTCAATATAAGCTTGCCGAAGTAGGAATGGACACCAAGAACAATCACAAACTCGATATGCCACCTGGCGCCATTTATATTGCCTTGGATCTAAACTATAAACGGATGTTCGTGTACTTCAGCAAAGGTTTAGAGATGGTATACGGGCCATCTATTGGGAAATGGGTCCTAGACTCGACCACGTACAATATTGAAGAGTATGCAGAAATTCACCCTCCAGAGCTACCTCAGGACGAACATCACCAGGAGTACGAGAAGTGGCTCTTAGCCAACCCACATCTTAGCTGGGCTCCCTGGTCCAGAGCTGGTGTATATCACTGGGGGTTCCGCCCCTTGATGGAGCTCGAATATACACATAAGGATGCATGTGTTGCCAGAGATACTTACAACCTACCATCGCATATACAACCAGTCCTTGCCGATCTACTCAAATCATTTGGCAACATCACTCGCGCACAAAGGATTCTTTTAGGAGTGGTAGATCGTGATTACAGATACTACTGCCAGTCAATCATATCTGCTTGTCCGGAGAAGAGAAAGAGATTTTGGGCTACAGACGACAACCAAGAGTGTTTCTCCCTTAGGACATGTACAGTGAATATCCCTTTTGAACCCAAATTTGACGGAGGGGATATCAAAGTTGGGTGGGCTGTAATGGTGCCAATGGGAGACTTTCGCGGTGGTGATCTCTGTATCAAGGAGATGAACAGAAGGTTTGTGTACAAACCTGGAGGTGTCTGTTTGATTCGGCATGGCAGGCTGGACTTTTTTACCGCAAACTCAAAAGGTAGTCGATATTGTATGGTTTCCACCGTTCAGGAAACACTAAAGGGGGAGTATTTCGATCGTTTGTGGGAGTTTTGATGTGGTTCTTCCTCCTTTGTACTGTACAAAAATTGGAGTCGTCAATGTATGCATAACCGTAAAAATAGGGCCCCTCATCTCGTTTTTGTCAGCTCGAACCAATCTTTAAAAAGAGATGTTCTATATTATAATTAATCACGTACCAATATTAAACTTTTAACTAGCGCGGCGAAGCGGACAGTTTGATTCTTGTCTACTACAGAGGATTCATCTTTCTCGAGCTCAAACAAGTGCAATTACCAAATCCCGAAGATTGCGTCTATTGCAGGGTGTACTAACACTAGATTACAGCACGAGATAAGGCTTTCACGAAAACGGAGCCACCTCTACGCTCCCATAAACTAATTGGCACCAATTTTCCCACGATACGCCCTCAACAGATACCGCGAGTGGCAGATCGGCTCAGGCGTTTATATAAAAAAAAACGCCTGCCGCACCGACTTGCGGCTGTCGCTAGAACTGCTGTCACTTAGACGCCAGAAAGGTTCTAAGGAGAGCAGCTGGGATTCGCCTCTTACGACATAAAAGTATAGTTGTCCACCTGAGCCTATGATTTGAGATATCTATGTGTGCTTATCCACTTCGGCATGTGAAATTGCGGGGCCCCGCACCTAAATAGCGAACCAGAAGTCGACGCCCAGACTTTAGTCATTATGTGCGGCGGTGATGGTGGCAACCACCCTGTGAAACCACACAACCCAGTCCGTCATGCCGTCATGCCGTCACAAGGGAAAAAAGATATGACGATAAAGCCATGATTATCAACCTCATGGATTTACTTGTGTATGTGCCGCCAAACTAACCAGCGAGCAGCAAGGTGCGGCAAGCGTGCACACGCAACACCTCGAAGGAAAGACATCGAGCCCGATTTATGAAGAGGCAACGTAAGAAAGACGTGCTCGGGAATGAGTATCCTACGGATAGGCCATAGGACTGAGTCCACATTCTTATGGCTCATAGAGTATCACTCGTACATCTCACGTTCCGTCATGTACTATCACTCGATAAATCATTCAAATTTATTAGTATTTCTCAATCCTTGGTATCTATACTCTATGCTACAGCTCGCCTAGTGACGGCGGATCCTGTCTGGTGGTTCTGTTTACAGTAATTTAGCCTTGGCGGTCCAAAGGTAACTGTTATTGGCCTCAAATCCTTGGCCGCCATCAGACAGGATCCGCCTTCAACCCGTGAGTGAATGTAGATGCGTTTATGCATTATTTTCCAAGCCCCCCCCCCCCCCCCCGAGCTCAGACACACAATCCAGCACTCAATTCCTCTGGTTGTGCTGTTTAATGCGCAGCTACCTATCTTGTACTCCCACACAGCAAAGAAGGTTTTCTATTTGCTCCTTCAAGATAAGTCAATGCAATGCAACGAAAACGCACTGCGCAGCATATGGATGACTGACGTATATAAGGCGACTACCAACCATCCTAACTTACACGCCAAGTTCTTTGGCCAGGCGGCCCAGAAAACTTTACAAACGTCTCTCGGTCTCAAGCGTTAGAGTCCGTGAGGAACAAGGCGGGGTACCCTAGATATGAGTTCAATATGGGGGTATTATAGGCATGTGTGGATGTACAGGCTTCACTTGCAGATACCCGAGTAAGCTGAGCTGGTTCAAGCCCTGTGAAACTACTCTCACTGACTTGAAGCATCAATTAACAGTACACAGGCAAATCTTAGAATATAACAGAACGACTCGGGAGATATCCACACAAAAGAAATGCTCCGACTGGCAGAAGGCGCGAAAATCTTAACCGTCAACTCAGGCATTGACTAGGGGCCTCGCCATTGAGTATATAAAATTTCTAGCTAGAGGAACGATCCTCCAAATCTAAAAATACACTCCACCGAGATACATGCAGGAAATCTGTTCTTTCGGGGCACGTGAGAGAAAAACTTCAATACCGACTACTCCAAGCACCACCTGTACTGAATTCCAATAACTTAACTACGATAGGGTTTCATCGGGGGTAAATTAAATCTATTTAAATTTTCATGAACTACTGCGCAACATGCCACCGGCGAGTGGTAAATCGAGGAAAATATTCGTAAGCCCTCGCCAAAATTGTACAGACCGGCCCGATATGACCTATAGTATAATTATCCAGGCATGCACTGTGTGCACAATTTCTTCAGACTCACTAGCGAATGCTATACTACCATCGCGTCTTCAGAATACATTTGGTGGGTGCTATCTATTTCAAAATTTGCAGCGGTTATAGGAATGAAGCAAGTTAAATCCACGCATTACGACAAGACTCCACCTCATTGAGATAACAAAGTGCGGAATTTCGACACCACCGAGTTTTTGGTGCATTCCAATCATCTCACGGCCAAAATATCACAAGCCTCATGAGCAATCGTCTTGATTTTCTTGAGAAGGAATGCGCTTAAGCCGTTTATAACCATCGAAAGGCGGTGTGGACTTGAGCCGGCGAGTAGGAGATGGAAGAGTTGCGTCGGAATCCAGCCCCCGGCCCCGGGATATCCAAACCAAACACGCAGATTGGATAATTTGAATGAATGCTTTTCGATTGCCACTAAATATACTTTATACTCTCCTTCGTTATTATGCTCATATTCCATAACGCCCCTAGATGTCTACCCTTCACATAATAATAATACAGGAAAAACAATAACAAAAATTCAAATAAGCTTAAAGGCTCTACACCTTCTATATATCCCAGCGCCTCCACAAAGAGTCAAATTAAACTCACTGGCCAGTTAAAAGACCATAAACCAGTTCTATCCCTTCAAAACGCCTTTAATACCCTTTCCCCTCCCCAATACTCGTACAACACCAGTCAAACCTCTCGCCTCCGCCAGCTTCCCCGGTGTAAGACACCACTCTCCGTCTGCATCGACATCCGCCCCGCCCCGCATTAATACCTCAACAACCTCAATAACTCCCGCCATTGCCGCCACATGCAGTGGCGTATACTTCCACCCGTTTCTCACGTTTACCTGCGCCCCGTTATCCAGCAGCATTCCCGCCACTGTTGCGGCACAGGGAGCTGCCCCAGAAACAGCGATATGCAGCGGTGTATCGCCTTTATTGTTTCCAATATCTAATGGGGGGTCATACCCAAGCAGGAAATTAAGAAACCGTGTTTCTGTTTCCCAGCTGCGGAATGGCAGTGGTAGCCAAGCAAGTTTCCGCTTTCCCGCAAGACTATTTGCCCGAGTCACTGCGGCATGAACTGCTGTATCACCAAAGGCATCTTGGATGTCACACTTGGCACCTGCGTCCAGTAGAAGCCGCACGATCTCCTCGTCACCACGAGCGATCGCATGGTGGAGTGCTGTGGTACATGAAGGGGATGGACGATTGCGTGTGTGGGTTGCAACTGTATTGATGTCTGCATTGTTGGGGTGTGAGAGTAGGAGACGTATGAGCGGTATGTGCCCGTTCATAGAAGCCCATTGGAGAGATGTAAGGGTTTCTTTTGGTGATATTGATACTGGGAGGTGAGCGTATGTGTGGAGGGTGGGGGTTAAAAGGTGGTTAAGACGTCGATTTATCAGTATCAAGCTGTGGACATGGCTAGCACGGTCGAGGTGGGTTGATATTATGAGAAGAAGCTCGTTGGGGAGGGAGAGAAGGCTCGTTGATGGTGCTGTGGATCCGGACAGCTGTAGCTGTGTGTATGACTGTGAGGAGCCCATGGTTCTAGGCATATATAAGTAAGATATTGAAAAGATCTTTGAGAGTGGAAGAGCAGAAAAATGGTGAATGGGGTAGGATATATATATGATCGAGGAGAGATCTAGGGTACGTGGCTTGGTAACATTATCTTGGAAGATATTAATTATATCGGATGAAGGGGTGCGAGGGCGCAAGCTGCGAGGGTGTGTGGGTCAGCATCATCGGTTGATCGGGAGGTTGTTTGTTCTAATCTATTTGAGATACTGCACTAGCTAGTACTCGGTCAATATCTCTAATCATAAAAGCCAAACAACCACCCAAACGTCCCAGTAATACAGAAAACACATAGGTAAGTAACGTCACCATTCCGCAGCGGTGAATTTCCTCTCCACAGGCGAAGACCTACGTACCACATATCGTGCTCCCATGCTAGGTACATGTATGTATGTATGACCCATTCCCCCATATTTCCATCTTTCGTGAGTTAACAACTTGTTTTGCCTATGTCTATGTGCCCCCCATTCACACCCGCCCCTAACCACACCCTCGGTACGCATCCGCACCCGGGGTCAGTCAAAGTCAGCTGTCAAATGCGCGTGTCAACGGCTTCTACAACCCCTAAATCAACGCGAACCAGTTAGCTTATTAGCGCCTAACTAGACTCATGTGCCCGTCTAAGGATCTCAACAGTTGGCCCGGGAAATAAAACAACCGCCAGTACCGAAAAGATACATACACCTATCATAGTCACCCCCTGCCCATCCTTGCATGGCGTTTTTTCGCGAAACAAGGAAAGAAGACCGTTGATTTTCCTTCGAGAACGAAAAGCAAAACAAGGAACAAAGGGAAAATTAAAAAAAAGAAAAAAAAAACCCGCCGGGCTCTCCCTTACGTGAGATTAACCTTCCGTTCCGTCTGTATTAACTAGGTATCTCCTATGCACGCCTTAGACGGAGTCAGCTTCCGTTCAAATCGCCTAGCGAAATCGTGAGGGTGGCTTTTGTTGTGCACTTTTGGGTGAATGGACGCGTGATTTTTTGCCCTGTGGCGTTCTGCGAGGTACAGCAGCGAGTTCCAAAGATGGTAAATATATCTGCACATCGTACGACTGCGACCACGACCGCACAGTATTTAAGAACGAAAGGATTCGAGGGTGCATAGATAGGGCTGAAGATGCAAGAGTTTTAATACTCTGTTCCAATCCAAACACGTACCTAACTCATTTCTCCTCTGCATAACTGGATTCCAGTTTATCCCAGGTGGTTGCGGCCCTCAAATCCCCCATCCTCCAGCTGGCCAGCCCGGAGCCTGTTGCTGCTCCTCCTCCTGTTAACTTGTTTGGCGTTACGGTTACTGTTACGGTGGTCCCGGACCCCACAATCAAGCCACGCTGTTTCCCGGTTTGTATGGACGTACGCTCAGCCCTAGCCCTAGCTAGCCCTGCACTGGTCCATCCCGGTACTCCCCACTTTAAGATGAACCCTGTCTCGCTTGACAGACATTCCCGTCCAGATAAGACATCATCCCATCGTAATATGTAGGTACATCAGAGTACCAAGTCCAAGCGCGGTGAGAATGGAAATGGGCTCGGGGCTGAACGAACGCCTCCTCCTCCTGGGGCACTCTGGGCGAAATTTGGAGTCGCTGCAACTGTACGCGATATCTATCGTGCTGCACACATAGATGCCGAGAAAGTTGCCCTGAAAATCGGGTAGGCCTAGATGTGCACATTATGTCCAGATAGCACTTTATCCACATGAAGGTCCTCGTCTAAGATACCTAGGTGGAAGTATGGTCTAGATATCTGCCGGTTCTTGGTTTCTATTGGACCAAACACGAGATTCGTCAGACTAGCCATAAACAACTACATACTGGGAGGCGGTGGCTGTGGGTATGCTTCGACCTTGGAGAGATATTCATGTTTGGGGCAAAACACTTGTGGCAGTATCTTTTTTGAGTACATATCAGCAGTGAGGAAACCTTAAAACCAGTCATGCTGGTTAGCACATCAAAGATCTGCATTGCGAGATCAAAGCGAAGGATCGAATTCATTGCAACGGGGAATAAGTCGGGTCCCATGCCTCCTGTTGATTAATCAGTCTTTAATATCAAATTGATCTACGATTATGTCTAGAACATGTAGCCCCAGCCATACCCTAATTTCAAAACTACCTTTCTACAAAGCTCATGATTTATCGGTTCCGCCCCAGTTCCCGGACGTCCTTTCAAGTCCAACCAGGAAAGCTCCTCTTGGCCAGTCTGCTAATTACCTACCGAATACACATGTATATGCATAGTCAATCGGGGGTCATCAGCTAAAGGGGCTGGACAGCAAGGGCTTTTTTTTCGGCCAATCGAACCCTCCTCCCCCACACAGCCTTCATGAATCAATTCATCTACCGCTCCTAGACTTAGAGACGTTCTACCAGACCACCAATCAAGAAGGCGTAGGTTGTACAACGCGCCACACAGCCCAGCCCCCCATTCACTATGTGATCAAGTCTCCCGGCAGTTATGTGCTACGATTCATGACCAATACTCCCAGAATAGCGTTCATAAACATAAAAGTATCTACCCGTAGCCTGACCCGCTGAAAATTATATTGCATATTAGTATGCGTGTAGGAATCGGAGAAACATCGTCAGGTGCTTTATACACGAACCTTTCCTTTTCCGAATGGCCTAAATAACAGGATCGATGAAAATCTAGTTCCTGAAGGAATATGGGATTTTATCACATGATGAGTATGATTCCGACTACAAAAGCGTATGTGTAGTGATTGCCTTCGTTGGGTACTTAGTATTCAAAGAATTGGTGGTTTAATCATAGAATATCACTCGTTTCTTGATCTAGCCACATGTTACATGTAGGCACGGGCAGAGCCTGTAGTAGCGTAGCTTAGCGCGGATGGTCTGCACACCAATCCCCTCACAACCAGTGATGTAAGTCGGTCTTATTCCCTCTAGTACCGCTGGTCCCTCTCATCCTCTTCCTCCCTTCCTCGCTGCTGTTCCACCCTTCTTCGAATCCACAAAATCAACCGTACATAGTCCACTCAATCATCCAGATCTCATCTATAAAGTACCGACCATCTACTCTCAGTATTTTTATTATCTGTACAGCTAATTCTTTGCAGCCCCCGAGCTCTACAGCTAGTCAACCTTCTTTGTGAATACTCAGCAGTCTGCCAATGGGCTTCGATACGCAACACTAAATAATGCCAATGGCTCACATGTAGAAGTGGCGCTACATTCTAAGAGCTTCATTGAGGAGAGAATGTCGCCCTCCAATAACGATTTTTCCATGTGGATGGGTAGCTGCATATCTCCAGCCGGAACTCTTGAGCGGGAGGCTAGTACACCTAGATCCGTGGAAAGGACAGGTTTCCGCGACCAGTACCTTTGACTTAACGGAGCCCTCCACGGCCCCATACCACGATAGATGGCGAAGATTACTTATGGTGGAGTTCGACTTGCAGTCGGAAGAAAACAGGATGCAATCTGGATCACCATGATGCTTCGTCGATTGTGTTTTAGAAATGCCCGCGCCATGAAAAGAGAGACAGCCTACTATACCTTCTTCAATATACTGCCTCGGACTTGTCTCGTGATGGGGATGTGTCGGGAACCCCATGAGATGCCTCGGGACTCTCCTGGTACTGGGAGAAGTCTCAGCAGACAGCGCTAACTGTTAAACCAGGGGGTATCAGTCCTTTACTGGAAATGAGTAGTCAGCTCTGGTACGAATACTTAAATAGAGTCGTCAGCACTAACGCCATAAAAGTCCAAGAGAAATAAGAGAATTCCATCTATTGAGATCATGGATCCAAGATACCTATTATGGTTACTGTCCAGGTAAAAGACTTTTACCATCGCCGAACACTCTTTCCAATCGCGGGACCGGCCGCATCCCATTAATAAACCTAATTATCTTTCCTTTAAAACATCCCCTAGCAAGACCACAAGAAATACCTTCAATCTATTGATAGCACGACTATTCATAGTACTATGCTCAATGCTACTCCTCTAAAAAAATGGTGGTTATATGTGGAGGTAATAAATGGGAAGGCTAGCGGACAATCATCTGAGCTCTTGCTAGTATAAAACAATGAATATTTGCATATAAATTGCGAGAGACACATACATCTAGCTATAAGAACTGAAATTTAACTACAGAACGACCCCTCTAGATTCCTGACATATATATATCCCCTTCGTAATCTAAACATGCACCACTTTCCCTCGCTAGATAGTACACTTCGGAGGTTTCGGGACTCTCTTCTTTCCTGACGATACTCTCTTCTTTCTTAACTTCCTCTTTTTTCTCGACAAATTCCTCTGCTTTCTTGACGGTCACTTCTTCTCCTAGGGTGACTGGACTATCCTGCTGTCCGATACGCACATAGCGGGCCCCAATGATACGCTGGCGCTTTGAGGGTGCTGGTGTTGGTGTTGAAAACCAGGATTCGTGGTCGTCTTCGTCTTCATCTCCGTCAGTGTAGTCATCGAAGGCTGAGCGCTGACGCTTTGAGGGTGTATCTTCCTTCTTTTCGCTCTTAAACTTTAGATAACTTCCATGCTCTTTTCTGCCGGTATCGATATCCAGCATTAACTCATCGCGTTGCTTATTGCTTTTCTCCCATGTCCTTTCCTCCCCACAAGCCTCAAGATCTTCCTCAAATACCTGCTCATCGTCACCATCATCGTCTCCATTGTAGCCCCAGTCCGAAGAAACATCACTTGCTTCCTGAAGGTCTTCCGCCGCTACTTCATTCTTCTTCTCACTCTCTAAGCTATTCTCTTCCTCTGAGTCGCCACCCTTCTCCCTGGTTAACCTGACTTCCTCATGGCCGTCCTCTGGTAAGAATTCTACATCAACCGAGCTAGTATCACTGCCTTTTTCTTGGCTTTCCAATTCTTCTCTGTCATGTTCAGGGATATGTTTACCCATCAAGGCTAGTTCGCATGTTCCCGCTTCGCTTGGTGTGTCCCTTTCCTCCTCTGTCACATCCCCCCCTGCTGTCACATCTGTCACCTCTTCCACTTGTGTCGCCTCTTCTTCTTCTTCCTCTTCTTCTTGCTCATCTTCCTCTTGCTCGTCTTCCTCTCGCTCATCTTCCTCTACATGTTCCACGACATCCCCTTCTATTTCATGATGCTCATCATCTGAAGAGGAGTCTTCATCGAATTGAATCTTCGTAAGGTCAAGTGGGTTTTTGTAACGACAAATAAGTTCTTTCACGACTTCCGCGACGATCTCTCTACCAGGAGAGCCAAGTTTTCCCGGAACCAGCTCCAGTTTCCGGAGATGTCTCTGCCGAAGCACTAAATTTTCGGACAAGTGCGCCGTTTTCACGTGCTGGCGCAGGGATCCCGCACAGCTGTCGGATATGCGTTTACCGCAGATTCGGCCCTGTTTACTGATGATGATTCGGCAAATGCTCTCTCGAGGATAAATGGAGAATTCCCCCTCGATTGGCCATGGGGGGCAATCCCTGTCACGGTATATTGCGTTCAAAGCTTTTGGAGCGGTCATATTTTTCCCTAAGGAGTTATTGTAAGTCAATGCCGACTTTTAAATGATATCATACAATCAGGAATCCTAACTTGTTTGATCAAGAAATTCGCCATGGATTTTGTGGACTCGTGCGGGAAATATCTCAGTCATTGTGAACTTGTGATTGAATCGGACCAATATCTGCTTGTGGCTGGTAGCTCGTAATTCCTGGGGAGTCTTTGGATAAATATCCAACCCGTTTAGCTTCAGTACACTCAATCCAAGGATCCTATCTCGAGGGGCTGGCAATTGAATGCTGTTGACTCAGGTGACTGAAAAGAAAAAATATCTAAGCCTCAGAACCAGTGTGTTGGCCGGTTACTCTCATTGCACAACATCTGACGAGTGACGTTACGTGTTCCTATGAACCGGCCTCGAGGACCACAAATCTTGGCTTAGTATGTACGTCGAGTGACAATGCATGACTCACACATAAATAACTCCGGCTAGTTATTAAACTCCTATGACGCCCAAAAACAGTCATATAGGTCTGCTGTCCTATGACTCTATGTCAAGAATACATCCGATGAACAAGTCGGCAATGATTTTTTCATCATTGATTATCAGATCTCAGCCAGCGCCATATCTTGCTATCGATAAGAAAGTGGCAGAAATCACAGTGGCTGGAACTCACTGATTAGTTAATTCAGCGTGACTCTTTATGTTGAGCTGGTCGCAGAATCGAGTCAGGCTTCTGGGTGAAAATGAAATGTGGTGGCTGGATCGTGACTCGATAGCTTCGGTTAGTGTGAATGATTAGTCATCGGCGCTGCAGAGGACAGACGACTGCAGACGGTAGGTATCCTCTTACGTTACGCCCTCTTGGTCTTTTCTATCTTTTCAGAACTGAATATCGACCCCTCCTCAGAATTAATCCGGCGAGATTTGCAGATGTACGCATCGGATTGCCGGTTTGGACGCCAGTCATTTCGGAGCACTACTACGGACTAATTGATTCCAAGTAAATTGGGGCTTTCCCGGCAGCTGAATTGCTGAATAGCTCTTCTAGAGTCTAGAGGAAGTAGGAAGAGAATTTTCTGAATGGCGGGAGTAGCTAAGAAACGTTCTTAGGTGAGCTGGCAAACCCAGAACCCACCCGGAGAAACTAAAGACTATTACAGCCGTTTCTGATAACTTACCCGGGTTTACATAGCTCAAATGTCCCAGAACTGTCATTATCTCGCATTCCTTCTTTCAATCTACCGTGTGTACTCGTCTCTGTGCCTGCTATGGTCTTGGTCTTGATTAAGCTTTTTCGTCTGAGCTTCTTGATAGCCTTGGCCAGGTATTCTACCATTTTGGGCTAAATAAGACGAGTAAATCACTGGATATATGTCGTAATAATCCCCGGAATTCTGAATTTCTTCAAAACCACGTTTACGTTGGGCGTCGTGGTCTCTGAAACAGCCAGGTAAGGAAGGTCCAACTATCGTCGTGCTACCGTTAGGCTTGGCGCCGTCGTGCCATCCTCCGGTCAAAACATCAGTAAGGTTGCAACCAGGTAACTCGTATCCGAAATAGAACACACCTCCATTTACCTACTATTTCATGACTGTCGGGGAATTAATAATTGCCGGCCAAAGTACACAATGCTTAGTTATGGATTTGCAGCTGTTGCCAGTGCTATTACTAGGCACGGTATCATACTACATTAAAGTGCAATTCGAGACATCCACTGTCGAATACGAGGCATCACACCGGTTATCTGGAAACTGCTGATCAGGATCTAAGGTTGGAATATTCTTCAGCAGGCAACCCAGCTCTTCAGAAATTAATTCACCGTGGAGCCGAAGTTCTCACCCGAGCTTTTCTACTACATGCATATATTTATGTACAGCTGCCAAGAGAACTATACCTACCGAAGCTTCGCCGAACACGATTAGAAAGCAGCGCAACCACAGCCATTTATTGGGTAATTACCGGGTGCTGTCTAATAAATTAGCGCTCGTACCTAGATAATCGATCTAATAAACTATATATTTCAGCTGCAGCTGGCCGCGGATGGGGACTCACCTAGATATAGAGATGTCGATCATGAGATGACTGGGTTGCAGTCAACCGTTTTGGATGTTGCTACTATTTAAAACCTGCTCAACTCGAGAGAATTTTCGGGCCTGAATCTCAAGAGCAGTCTCTGGACGACTTGGAGTCGGCCCATCCTACGTAGTTAGGGAGAGGAATAAATCCCCTTTCGATAAGCCTGGGTATAAGGACAAGGCACGTTTAAGCTTAACTTGAATATCATTACCCATGCACCCACCCAGTGTGCATATAGGGCAATTATGACGATGATCCCTCGAATGCCTTCTATCCCCATAGCATCTCCAAAAGTCACCACAGCACCCACCCCCCGGTGAGAAAACCTAATGGCAAACACCCTCTATCACAGCCTCGGTGATGGCAGATATAAGACGAAACACATACACATCCCAACCCGCGCCTCTCACCGCAGGCCCGGAATAGTACTAGCACCACACCCAAGGCGTACCGAAACCTCCGGCAAGGCCAAGCTTCCCATATAAACCTACTTGGCCATCCCAAGAAGAAGAATTAACCCACACTCCTGCGTAGTTTCTGGCGAATTAACGCTAACACCCCACGGTCCTTACCTCGTACACACGATCAATAATTCAGCAGGCTGAAGAAATTAAACACCAACCGCATCAATCCAACTTCTCCACACTCGTTTTTACACAAGTCACTACTGCCAGCCAGTAGTCCAGTCTAGCACAGCCCAGTCCCGCCCAGTCCGCCCGCCCAAAATGCTCCCGTTCAAATACGTCCTCTGCCTCCTCCTCGGCACCTCGGCCGTCGTCTTCGCCGCCCCCGCCGCTCTGCCCGTCGCCAACCCCATTCCGGCGCCCCGCGCCTCCCCAACGCCGTCAGCAGAGCCCGAACCCTTCTGGTTCCTGATCCCGCGGTTGATCAGCGCCATCGCGCGGCCGATCGCGAAAGCCGTGGCCAAGGGGGCAGCCAAGAAAGCCGCCAAGAAGGCCGCCAAGAAGGCGACGCCAAAGAATGTGGCAAAGACGGCAAATAAGGCCGTCAAGGGCGCGAATAAGGCGAATGATGCGCACCAGCAGCAGAAGAAGAAGCAGGAGCAGAAGAAGAAGAAGGGGAAGAGGGCGGCGCCGAGGCCGGCGGCGAAGGGGGGGAGGACGGACGAGAAGTCGGAGAGGAGGCCGGATAGGAGTGGGAGGAAGGGGGGGAAGTTTGAGAAGAAGAATTAGTGGGGTGCGTGGGGTGGGGCATGGGGTGTGGGGTGATGTTTGGGTCTTTGTTTGCGGTTTGAGGTTTGGGTTTGAGGTTTTTGGGTTTTGTTTGTGGGAGGGGTTCGGAGTTTGTAATTATATCACGGCCAGTCTGCAGATGGTGGTGCACAATCAATATCAAAATCACATGAAAACCTGAAGCTCGTGCTAGTACATAGCTCAATTGCAAAAATCAGATCAAAGCTTTCAACAAAATATCTAGGTATATCCGTCTGGATATGCATACAGTACGAAAAAAGAGGATGTAATAGGTACTGTACCAATACGGAATTGTGCAAAACTTCCGAATTAAATCGGAATCCTAACTATTATACCGTAGCAATACCGTAACAATACCGTAACCCTACGTTATTTTGTCAGATATGGTACTGGATCCACCCGCTTTTTTGGTACTGTACACCCGCATCCCCACGATTCTTAAACGTGCGCAAAATAAACATCCACACATATATGCAGTACGTGAATCTTGAGAGATATGTATAACAATGTACAAATTGCACCCTTCGGGTCAAATATACTTCCCCCCCTGGGTACGTCCTCGAACAAGTTATTTATATCCCTTTCATCCGAAGCTTTCATCCCAGATCCTCGACCTGGCAACATATGCAGCAATGTAGTGAAACATCAGGACTTCTACACTAGTTCGCATATGTAGCCTAGCCGGTAACTCGAACCCCCCCTCCCCCAATCCACTATATAAACCATCTCATATCACTCGGCCCCCAATATCTTGTAGGTATATACGGCGGCTGGCCCAACGCAACACATACACTCATACTTCACTCCACGTCTTCCGAGAAAATGCACGTCAACATGAATTCGAACCTCGTACCACTGCTTGTGCTTGCGCTTGTGTGTATCTCCAGCGCTAGTGCAGCACCGACACGGGAATTAAAAACTGATTGGATCAAGCTCGCGCAGAAGAGTACGGAGTCGAATGGGCCGTAGGTTTATGGTGGAGGTACGCGGGGAAAAGAGGAAGGGGTGAGGGGTGATGGGTATCATGGGGTAGTGGAAGGTTGTGTGTGGGTGGTGTCTAGAATTCACGGTGTTTTGAGTTTTGTATGGACAGATAAATGTATTTGTTTTCCACTCGAACTCATAGTTTCACTGCCCGTACATAATCAGACCAGCTAGTATTCAATTAAACAATGCCATTTATAAATAATTATTTCCACGCCCCTCATGATTGTAGAGGGAGAATTAAATTTTATTTGATACCCATAATTCAACGTACAACTCGCGGTCGCGAGTTGGCACACCCCTAGTGGGTATGTATGCTTGAACACTCTCACGTACGACATCACGCGTGCTCGACAGTCCGCTATAATGCTGTGAACAAGCCACACGCAGTACTCGCATTATATCCCGGCCAGCACTGATCTCGAAACGAGACACGAAATGTTTCACGGTTACACCCACCGGTGATCGGCGTTCGTTAGTTACACAACCGCCCGGTCAGTGGCTGCTTATATTAGTCGCGCCACACCACACGGCAACCATGCCAGATATCCCCCAGCCAGCCAACGTCACCAACTCCAAAGTGACACCACAACTACCTCGAGATAACCGGACCTCAGAACCCACACTCTGAACGGTAGTGGATTTGGATAACTTCAATACAGCCAATTCCTGATGCCCCCCCCCCCCCCCCCCAATTTTTCCCACTAGCAAAGACAATAAGCTTCACCAAATATCACTCGACCCTGTTTCGGTTAGAGTTATTTGTTACTAATTAATGAATCCGGTTAGGACCGTTAGACCTCATCTCGTCCAACGTCTTCACGCCTCCCCCCTAACCAGAGGCTTTTCTTTCCTCACGCAAACGACGCGGTTAGTGGATTGCTTAAGCAAGACGGGTGACCTGTGTTTCGGAGAGACACATACTTTATAGCCCTCCCAGTAGACATAAACACCGCGTAGTATTAACTGGTAGTTTTCCTCTCCCGTATCAGCGCGGTTATCTGATCCCCGCCCAAGTTATGTTTCCGTTTGGTAAATATAGTCCGCACCCGCCTCCGCCAGCGATACACCTGCCAACTTCGTTTTCATCGCCTATTCCAGTACCCATGGCCATTCCGGGTCATCCTAGGTGTACACCACTAGCTCCAGACTCCAGCGGCCAGGATCAGACCAGCATCCAGTGCTGCAGGTCCCCAGCTCGAACAACACAAGATATCTGGATATTTGGCTAAACTGGAAAACTGATCATTACCACCACCAGGGTTAGGTTTGTAGCTGACTCTTACAATGTTTCAGGCCACCCACACCTAAAGCTGGAGGGCTCTTTTTTTGTGTGCTCCCAAATGGGTTGGATTCTCATCCTGATAGGTCAAGAAGAGTGTTTCGGCCGCCTTGTACGTTGTTTCCCGCGGATACGGGTATATTAATCAACAAGAGATCCATATGATACTTAGGCCACCCATAGCAATACCTACTCCGAGTGAAAGCGACGGCCTGATTTCCCTCCCAAAGCCCTATATCAGCTTCTCTCCCTCCCACTCCCTCCCATTCCCACAGCTCCCGCCAACACACCCAACATGACCGACACCCACCCCCTCTTCCAAATCACCACGATCCCCAACTCGGGCCTCGGCGCTGTCGCCACAGCCCCCATCACGCGCGGCACCCTCCTCATCTCCGAACCCGCCCTCTTCCTCCTCACCGCCGACTTCCTCACCACCGCCGCCGCCAACGCCGGCATCGCCGCCAAGCTCCGCACGCTCACCCCGCCCCAGCTACACTCCTTCCTGACGCTCACAAACGCGCACACCACTGACACAAGGCACCCGTTCGCGGGCATCATGCGCACAAATGCGCTCCCTTGCGGCGTCGACGCCGTCGAGTGCGGCGTGTTCCCGACGTGTTCTCGGTTCAACCACAGCTGCAACCCGAATGCGAACTACTGCTGGAACGAAAAGACGCGGCAGGAGGTGGTGTACGCGGTGAAGGACATTGCCGTGGGCGAGCAGATCTGCGTGTCGTATCTCGACGAGGAGTCGACGAACTATCCGCGCGCGCAGCGCCAGCAGCGGCTCAGGAAGGACTTCAGCTTCGAGTGCCGGTGCGCCGTGTGTTCCGGGGATGCAGCGGCCGTTGCGGCGAGCGACGAGCGGCGGAGGGAGGTGGGGAGGTTGGATGCGTTGGTGGGAGGGGGCACGCTGATGATGGGCAGCCCGCAGAAGGCGCTGGGGTGCTGTAGGAGGATATTGGCGCTGCTGGGGGAGGAGGGGATCAAGGATGTGAGTCTGTATCGGACGTACTATGATGCGTTTCAGATCTGTGTTGCGCATGGGGATATGGCGAGGGCGGCGGCGCTGGCGCGGTTGGGCGTGGCGGTGAAGGTGGCGTGCCATGGGAGCGTTGCTGTCGAGGAGAAGCTGTGGACGTATGCCAAGTCGCCGGAGAAGCATCGGTTGGCGTCGATGTCGAGGAGGTGGGCGACGAAGGTGGGCGATGCGAAGGAGATTGGGAGTGAGGGCTTTGAGGAGTGGCTTTGGGCGAGGGCCCGTTGATGAGAATGAATAGCCATTATGTTATATATATAGGCTCTCGTTGGCTTGATATAAACAAGTTCCCCAGTGTCTGTTTCCTCGTGTCAGCCATCAATTCCCATCGTGACCTCACTTCCTGTAGCTATCCGGAGTTTGGTTAATCATTACCTATCTGCAATATCCCTAGACATGCGCACTGCCGAGCTCTCCCATAAGTATCACTACCCACCCTAGATCGACTTATATATCCAGCCAGATCCTGAGAGCATGCATATCCATATCACCTCCGAGCATAAAACATCACCCGCCCGCCGCCAGAGCCAAAAGTAATAAACAATCCTGATTGGTGATCAATCCCCAAGTCTCTTCGTCTCAAGAACACCCTGACCGCTGGTCTCGACGGAGTTTCTGGGTAGCGGTATTTTGTATCGATTGATTGATACCTCAGCAAGGGCTTTCTTTTTTTCTTGTGGGTGACATCGTTGAGTATAGTACTTGTAGTTGAGTATTGACCGATTGATTGTGAGGTTGATTCTGGCTTGTTGAGGTGAGCTGTGGGAAGTATGTAGCTCAATTCGCACGACTGTCAAAGGGACAGAAAGTACTCTAGACTGGGTAACAACTATATGTACTGCATACATGACCTAACCCTATTTCGGATGGTTTGTATTGTTACAATGATCGCTGGCTGTTTCTTCCAGTAGGTGAGTGGTGATAATTACATGTAATTTCCCATCCGGAGATTGGATCCCACCTTGGACTTTGGAGATGATGATCACGTTTACCATCCTTTTTTGTTCTCTTACTAAACGTGTATGTACTAAGAAGTGCACGTAGCAACATATAATTCTTCTAGTCACGGCGTTACTTGTTGGGTTATTTGTTCGGTTGAGACTACGTATGTATATAAGTAATTTGGAAGATACAGATATATTAACACCAACAACTCCAACACCACAACGTATCGTATAGACTTAACACTGCCCCGCTCCCTCCTAGACACCGTTCACCAAACACCCACCCCACCGGCCACCACTTCGGGAATCGAGTGACACTCCATGACTCACCCGATCGTTTCGACCACATCTCTATGCACCCAGCACCGCACCATCCCCGCTTTCCATGTATGTCGGAGGGTACGACTACGTAAGATATATGCCATCCTCAACATTAGATTTCATATATGTGTCCGCAACTGATCGACCGGCGATGATGAAAGGGTGGGTGGCAACATAAACGACTGGACAGAACGCAACGGGCCCCCATCACAAAAGAGACCCCCTATATTGCGAATCCCGGCCAACTCACCTATTTCGCTCCTGGAACAGAGGATGCTGTACGGTTGTGTTCTCTCCCCCGGCCAACGGGCCAGTGAGATTGTGAAAGTGAGAGAGGGGGGGGGGAGGAGTGAAAGAAAGAAAGAGAGACTCTGGTTGAATATGTAGCCCCATCATGAATACGATACGAAGAGCACTCAAAAAAAGCATCTCGCTCAATCGGAAGCACCATATTTCATGAGCTACTGTTTCAATAACCGTTGTTTGGCCAATGGGCCGCCGATTACTCGGGTCCAAGTGCCGTGATCAGCACCATCGAGTAATCCTGTATCGTGCCCTGCGAATCGCGGGATGGAGTGACCCCTCTTTCATGGCGCTTGGCGAGGGTGCTTAATAGGTCTTTGATCCCCACACTGTCGGTGCTGCTGGTGCCCCTCCTTGATAGCGACGGTGGTGGATCATTCTGGTTGTGCTTGCTGGTAGAGCTTCGAAGCTTGAAGGGTTAGCAGTTAACGTTTGGTATGGGATGAAATGGGAGGGGAGAGGGGGAGGGGGCTTTGGTTGTTCGGGATGGGTGTTGGACGTTTCGATAGAAGCTTGATGGATAACGTTAACGGTTCCCGAATACGCCAAGGAGCTATCGTCCGGCAGATGGTGGTACTTGGAGAGATTGGGAAAAGACTCGATGGATATCCTAGCTGGGTGCGGCACTTGTGTTGTGTTTACTCTCCGAGAAACCGGGCGGGACGTTGGTCTTGCAGTAGCAATGGTGGAGGGGAAGCTTGAGCTTGAGCTGGCGATAAGCTTATCGGTTTCAGTGAGGGGCGGTACGTATTCTAGCTTGCTAGATTGAGAAGGCCTAGGAGGGGCAGAAGAAGAAGAGATTTCTATTTGGAATGGATTAGAGGGATTTATTCGTGTTGGCATCAAGAAATAACATATCGACTCAAGAAAGGAATAGGCTTTTCACCCTTCAGTTGAAACCTTTCGTCTAGTCTCCAGACACCTGGCCTTTCGGGAAACGAAGCTTAAGCTCGGGTTAATCAATCAAACTTTCGTTTCGATTCAAGACTAAACACATACCTACATGTATCTTTCGTCAAGCTTCTCACTACTACATGTAGCTATCCGCTCGGGAGGAGCTACTCTCAGAACCCAGCATCCATCCCTCAGGATATGGCCCTTCCCCTCCCGCAGAAACAATCTCCTACCACCCGAACGTCTAGATCTCGGTATCCCACTTTCTGCCTCCCGTACACGCACGCAGCCATCCGGCATATCGAGCTACATGCAATTGAATTGCGGCCAAAGACATTCTACCCCCGAACAATATGACGTATTACGTCATGACCATTCTGGAACCACATCGAGGCATCTGCGCATCTCACAATCTCAACTCAACAACCGTTACTGATTACTCTACGAGTAACAAACAGTACCAACCATTCTGGCTTCATCTAGAAAGAGGTGGCAACTAGCTGGAAACTGATGGTTGTAGCGAGAGGTATCATATTGACAGCATGTAGTTTGCGGAAGTTTCAATATTTCATGATGGACCCAGAAGAATCTTGAAATGATATATCGGTGGTATATAGCAGCAGCATATCCAATCCCCGTTGAGGAATACTGATCTATGTAGCTAAAGATAATTTCTATCTACACTAATTGCACAGCACAGCGCCTACAATATGTCGGACCCTGATACTTCGTCCCCCACCACTACCGCCGCCGTAGGTGGAGACATATTTGGCGACTACATCATCGATCAGCAACATACCGGCAGCGAAGTAAATACAGATACAGATACGAGTAGAGAGACAGATTCAGATTATACAGACCCACCACCACCACCACCACCACCACCACCACCATTACCGCCCATCGTAACCAATGAAGTCTACTCGCGCATACCCATTCCAGTCACTGGCAGTCGCCGGTCCTACATTGCACCCCCCAGCGAAACTAACGACCATTACCATGATGATAATAACGAGGAAGAAGATGATGAAGCTGCCGCAATCCGCGCAGAAGAGGTGAGAGAGAGGTTTAGGAAGGGTGTGAGGAGGGTCATTTGTGTGTTGCGGATGATGAAAGAGATGCCTGGCGAGACTTGGAGAAAGGGCTTGGGGGAAACTTGGTAGAAGGCGAATTTTGAGAGAAAAGAGTACCTTAGAGAAGTGGTTGGGAAGTATCGCGACGATCACGACTCTGAACGGCGGGTGGGTGGGCGGTGGGTTCTTGATATTCCTAACCCTTAGCATGCTGCGTTCGTCGTATTCTACGACATACAGCGAGCTGACGATACAGCAAGTTTGCTCTAGGCGCTTGCTGTGCGCATCCAGTTATTTACAAAAGATATCTACGTAGAGCTATGAATAAAAGATTAACCTACCTAGCTTATCTCAACTCGCAGTCTAGTTTTGCAGATGCTACATACTCCACTCAACCACTTCCCACAACCCCAGCCTCCTCCCCTACGTTCAACCCCGCATGAACGAGTGATCGCCCATGAATCCGGAAATCGGTTTTCTGTTCGCCTGCGACCGAAAAAAATAAAAAATAAAAAAAACCAACTCGGCAACTCTTCGTACCGCGCAAAACCGCGCCGGCAATTACGATACAATTCGATTTGCTGCGCAAAAGGAGAGACTCCTCGAAACAGCGAACGAACTGTGCAAGCCGTTCCGTCCAACAACACGTCCCATCCCGCCCGGACTAAATAATTGTAATCACCTCGACTTTCAGCTCCGCTCTCTAGATACGGCCCAAAATAACCAAAGCGAAGTACTCCTAGATGAGAAATCCAACAGTCAATCACGCGACAGAAGAGGATAGGAGAGAGACCGAGTAAATCTGCTAATCTGAGCACAGGAGTCGGTCGTGCGCTGACTCAGTCGTAGACTAACTGAAACTAATACTTTTGACATCTTGGCACACCGTCTGTGAGCTCACCTCCTACACTACGCTACCAACCAACCAACCCACCCTACCCATCATGCTTGCTACCCATGCGAAAATTAAACCCACGAGCCCGTTTCTCTCCCCCCCCCAAACAAAACTCCGCAATTCCACTTTTCTCTTCCAGAAGCCCATAGAAAGCCTCGGACCCAAACTTCCGTTTGCTACCTTCCTCTTCCTCTCTAATTCTCCCACCCACCCCAGCCGAACTACCAACCCCGGACTCTTGAGGTATGGCCCGGGCGAGGAGGCTACGCTGGGGTGTGTTCCCGCCCCGGCTCCCGAGTCGATCTGGAAACGGGGACGGCCTTCCCAGCGCAGTATTACGCTACGAGTAATCGATTGTCATACAACTGAACTGAAACCCCCTAGAGTAATAATTCGTTTTGATAAGCGCATATCATCATGTAGCGTGTGTTGTTGGCATTATTGTAGACGCGGCTGCGTTGGCTGCTTTCGGGGTTGGATCACCGATAGGTGGGAGGGGTGTGATGTAAGGAGGGGTGGTGAGACATGGGTTAGGGTTGTGGGCGTGACAGTGAGGATTGGGGTTTGTAGGTTTTGGAGGGAGGGGAAGGAGGGGGAGGAGAGGAGGAAGGGGGGGGGAGGGATTTGGTATTCTGGTGCTTGGTGGGTCCGGTTTTGTGTTTGCCCTGGTGCGCGCATGATGAAAACGAAGGATTCGTGACCGTCAAAGTTAAGCGCGCAAAGTGCAATTTTACAATGGCTTTAGAAACGTTAAACGAGGTAACGCATTGTAGACGAGAGAAAGAATAGAAGCTTTAGAGGCTTAGGGTGCAATTAATTAAATAAAGTACTCTCTATCTAAATTAAAGATTCCATTAATTTTATTTTGTTGTTCTATCTCTATCTTGTTGATACTTATTGGGATAATGAGTTTAGCGAGTTGGCTGCGCAGGTTCATGTATGTAGATGTATACAATTGACCACAAGAACTTCAACAATCTCTCATCGTTCACTCCACAAATATACCCATTTTGTCCCTGGAAAGCGTATATCCATCTCGCAAAGGCGGCGAATCTATCTATACACGAGAATAGATTATTCGAGCACCATAATGCCTTCAAAATGACCATGTTCATGTATTCTCACTCGTTATTCTAACTTTTTCTACACAGTTTGGGTGGGTCACTCAGTAGCCTCACGATAACCGAGCTGTGTTGCAATCTGGCGCTAAAGAAGAAGACGTTGAGGTGGCTTCGCTAGAGGTCACGCACGACAGGGGAGGGCGACAGGGGAGGGCGACACAAGTCCCTCATAACCACGTCCTCCAATTGTCTTTCAACCTCACCTCAAACTCGAGGTCCAGTCCATCAATCCATCACGATGTTAACCGTGTTATCTCCATGTTAACAGACGGCACGCCAAAAGGGCCAGCATTCCTCCCCCTCAATCGAGTTAGCCGACCAGGGCGCGGCTTAGTCGGGCTGAATTGAAAGGGTGATGACATCAGTAGGAAGAGCTCTATCCTCAAAGTTACTAAATTCTCTTACTAACTTATTTTTTGCTTCTCTTGCGACAGATCGCATTCTCTGAAGACTGGACTTGCTCTCCCCCCCTAGGGCGTGAAGGAAGAGTACCGGGAGAGCAGTTCTAGGGCGTCCGGTAGATGGCCTTCTGATCGATCTCGAAGGTACTCAAGGCAGAGAGTGAGATACTTGCGGCTATCAATCAACTCCCAAACCATACCGGAGGTACCTCAGTCAGCACAGTCTGCTTTCAGCGTCAAGACAAGGAGACAAAGAACAAAACATGTAAAGTCATCCACGCGCGAATTTTTTTTGTTTTTCAACTATGTTGTCCCAGTTGGGGACATAGCTGGATCTGGCTGATTGTCGATATCGATACGAGGGCTGGGCGTGTTGGGTACATGTGTGTTGTACACTCGTCACGCGTCACGCTCCGTTACTCCGAATTATTCCTGGCATTGGTCAGCCTGCACAACCCCAGGTGCCTAAACCGGTAGCGAGTTTGGACTGCGTAAGCGGACCACACACGAACATCCACAAAACACGGGTGGGGTTGTCTATCATTGGTTACCAGGGCCAGTGACCTGTCATATTGCAACCGTCGACAAAAGGGTGAAGTCTGCAAATGTCAATCCCAAGCCACTAAGCCAAAGCCTTGGCAGGGCAGGGCAAAAGCTTAACAAGACATTAATATAGCCCTATCTGCCACACCAACAGGTGCCGTGCATGGTCTAGGCGGTTGGAGACCCTTCTACAATCCAACCAGGAAAAAAAATTGCTGGTTCATAGAGTACCAATCAAATGTACTCCGCATACTCCTTGAGACGCAGACTCAGTTTGCGCAATGATTGGGGTAAAATAGAAAAGAAGGAATTGCGCCTTCTTTGCAGTAAAGATCTACACAACTGCTGCGCTGCTCTCCTCTGCCAACAAGTTAGATTACATTGGTGCCTGCACGAGTTCAATTCTTACGTAGGAGACGACGGTTTTCACGGCAGGAGTGCAGCTTTCGGCGAGAGCTGAATGGCTGTTCATCTTGCAATGCCAACATACTCAATGATCATCAATCACGTGGACAGATCAAGTGCATCCCTAGATCTCAGAGTCAAATTCTTTCTTTAACGTGGGTACAAGACAAAAGAATACTTACCTGGCGTAGTCGAAGAACACCACCGGGCATGTATCCTCTTCTGTCTTAACTCGAGGTTTCTTTTTTGCGGTGCCGATGAATCAATGATTTTCTGGTTTACCCGGCTATTTTACACATCGGTTCTACTCTATCGAATAGGTAATCGTCGGGTCCGGAGTTACTATTTTTACGGTTTCATTTGTGTGTGTGTGTGTGAGGAGGGCAATCATCTATTGATACTTGAGAATGGATAGCTAGGTATGTATTTGAAAGGACTCTCTGTTTGGGGATCAAATTGACTGAAAAGAGGTTCGCGATAGAAACAATTCGTAGGTCAGTTTCAAGTGGATTATGCGATATTGTTACTGACCAATTGACTAGCTGGAGGGTGACTCGCACGCACGATCTCTGTATGTACTCCTGACCAGCACCTGTCACTCTGACATAGGCGTGGTTACATCATGTTTTACCCAGAATACCCAGAGAGTTAGGGGTATTAACTATTTTGGAACATGCTCTTTCCCTTTGGAATGATTTGCGTCTAAGTCTGGTTGTCGGATACAGCTTGAGGTTTGAAGACATCCACGTATGTGACTAAAAGGATTGTCGGCCTAGTGCCTCTAAGGTACCAACAGACCGATGATTAGACGAGGACTGTAGCTACGATTACATGGAAAATCCGAAAGCTCCTGGATACGTGCCCTACTTTCACCGACCTCTTCGTTTTCTCTCTCTCAGGTTAAGGGAAGCTATGTGGAGGCAAGCAGGAGAAGACGATAGAAAACTTGATTTTGAACATTATCATCGGCGACCAAGAGAAAAAAACTAAAGCGCTGATAAGTCCCGATTCCAAGCTGATGCCAAGCATGTATATTATTTTGGACACTCGTACAAGGTGTCTCAGGCTCCCACAGAACCGGGCCGTGTATCTTTGGCTCTCGGGGCTGGGATTATGTGGGGAAGTAGAGAGATTGGCTGGATCAGATTCTCGCCCCGCCTCATCGGTACTTCTTGTCGGACAACTGGCTTAATTGGGATTGATAATTGTTCGGTACTGGATTTGATTGATAGCTACGCTGTCCATTCTTGGATGTACAACACCAATGCGGAGCTAGAAGTTCTTTTTTATCTAATCGGATCGTATTGGTAGAAATCAATTGATGAAAGAAAGGGGTAAATCATTTGATAGCTGAAGGATTTCAGAAAAGAAAAAAAAAGGGCCAGAATCTCAGTGTGCAGTATCGTGCCGAAATCCCGTTTGATTTATTGCTACCTACGACATGTCAATGAGATTTGCGAATATTATTTGGACGACATTAATATTAATGTGCAATGATTAATGAATCTACTATTGCTGTAGTAGTACAATTTCGCCCAGAAACGGCTGAATATTAGGTGTGGCTTTTCTGTGCACTGTTCCAGGAATCCTAAGGATACAATAGCCTCGTCTGGGAGAACTTCATAATTTCAGCTCTGTGGTAGGTTCCGGTACTTACCGGTGATCGTCTGTGATCAAATGTAGAGTAAACAAGTTTTCTACATGCTGCCAGGTTGTCTGGCACTCGAGTACTGGACGGAATAACCCTCGAGACTACAGAATGCAGTAGTGCTTCTGTTCAAGCAGGGGAACCGAAGTTTCCACCAGGACCTCATCTAACCACTACGGGATAAATGCTTGCTGGGCTGTGGCTATTGGTTGGATGGGACATCCACCAACACACAACCACTGGTGTACAACCCCAAATCTCTACGACTTGCAGGGGCAAGGGAAGGAATTGGCATTTTAGCACTATCCATGCATAGCGCCTTGTGAGGAGTGTAGCGAAACTTTAATCCAACCTTCAGTTACACCACTCGAGCTTGAAGATGTATTTTTCGCAGCGGACTCTGGTATCGCAGGTAGAGATATTCTGAAATCTTTTGAAGCGTAAAGCCAGATTGTTAATTCGATGACTGATAAATATTTATTTTATTTTTTTAATTTTCGCTCAAGTGCTCAGACAATGCGAATTGCCTATTGCGGCCGGCCCGGCTAGCTATAAACGGATCGGGCAATCGTCGCCGAGTTCAAAAAAAGGTTAGCGGCCTACACGGGATCTGCTTAATTCTATGTCCCATATGCCCTACTTGCAACAACATCGTGTTCAAGTGGTCTGACTGCAGAGTCCCGGTGTTGTGTGCAGGAGCTCAATCAATGCCTACCCAACAATGCAATAACAGAAATTCATTATGAGACAAATATCGACTACGTACCTACATTGCCAACGAAGATTACGAGAGTACTCGATCTGAGATTGACTCTGATCTCTCTCTGGAAAAGAATTTTACGAGATTTATTTTAAAACGTTTTAGGAATGTTGGTGGCTTTGCTGGCATTCATTATCGCCGGAGAAAGTAGCAAATATGGGACTCGGAGGAGATGATTGTATTAGAGTAGTCAATGCATGCGTGATCACAAGATTTCTTGCCAACCTCGACGGGTTTGCAAGGAGTGAGGTAATTTTCGTATTGAAATTGAATTGCGTTGGTGAAAGAGTCTACTTGTGTCTCAAGTGATTTTTTATTATTCTTTTTCTTTGCTGGCCAAAGATTAGGTTGAGAATTAGGAATTCGGCGAGCACGAGAAAGTGAAAAAAATAAAAAAAGATATCTTGCTGAGGAGGTAGATACGAAGATATGCACATACAGTCTTAGAGTGTATCAAGAACTCTGCAAGTTGTACAGCTGTCGTAAAAATCTCTAGTTCCTGCAGTAATCTTTTGAGACACTCTGCAAAGAGACCTCATACTGTGAGATGATACGCCCGGGCCAAGGGGGTGGGCTGAAAAAACGCCGATCCCGAAGGCACACTCAGAGCAGAGTGTGAGACACACGGACAGAGGACTGAGGAGTTCTTTCCCCGGCGCACTGGGGTCATGCAGCACGGCCCACGCACTCACTATCAGCTCTCGGGCATTGAGGGACTTAGACTACGGGAAATATTCAACTTTCTAAGGCATCAATTTTCTATATAACCTGGCCATTCTCCGCCCCAAAGTCAAATCTCATCCTCACTCTCATCTCAACATCCAAAGCATCCACTTCCAACAACAACCAACCTTCCACTCCACTCTTCTACTACTTCAATAACTTTTTAAGTTTACCCCCCAAACAACCAAATCAATCAAAATGCAGTTCTCCACCATCCTCATTGCCACCGCCGCTCTTGCCATGACTGTCATCGCCGCTCCCGTTGCCGGTGATGAGGGCCACGGAACTCAGATCCACGACAGCGGCAATGTTGGCGATGTCTCCCAGAGCGGAAACCACAACGTCTGCAGCAACCAGAACGACCGCACTACTCAGGTTTGCTGCAACAAGTCCAACAAGGCTGAGGCCAGTGGCCTCGTTGCCGCCAATGTCTTGAGCAACCTCGACCTTCTCGACCTCGGATGCGCTATTGCCAGTAAGTATCTCACTATCATTACTACAGTGAATCGATTCTAACAGCTTCACAGGCAACTGCAAGGTCGAGCAGAACGCCTACTGCTGCAAGCAGGACAACAAGAGCAACGTATGCATTCCACTCTGACTTCTTCCAAAGCCATTCAGTAGCTAACATTATCACAGGGCATCAACCTTGTCCAGCTCAACAGCTGTGGTCCTCTCGTCGATGTTTTGTAGATACCTTTCTACAAACATCGCTCGGCCACTACTTCTCAGCAATAGTTGGCCACGACTTTCGATGGGGGAGAGGATTGTGAGATTGATGAATGGGCTAATTTTTACTTCTTCATAATGATTGCATTGGCATGCTTTCCTTTTGTTCGCTTTCTTTTCATAAAAACTACAAAACCCGCAAAAAAAGCCTAATGGCACCCCATTCATGTTTTCTGTTATATTTTTTATCTTCAAAAGCAGTCTCACATTCCTTTTGGTATTGAGTGGAGGAGAAAGAGAGAGAGATCTTGGGTTAAAACTAGTTGGCTGCTTTTGGACTGCGATACATGTTTTCTTTATGAAATCGTTTGTTCAACTTCTCGATAACTCTAATTAGGTAGCAATCAAAATGAGATGTTAACAAAATCTTTGGTTCCGATTCTTCTTTTGCGAGTGGCAGTGATTTGAGAAGCTTCTTTATCTTACTTAACCAACAGCTACTACAGTACTTCGACAGGATAGAAAACTTCCTCATTGCAACACCCTTTTATACCTTATACTTATATCCCTATCATTCCCCTAAAAAAAACCCGCAGTACCTCCCGCCGAAGACCTATAGCTCCCAAACTTCTCGCACGTCATACGGCTACTCCTGCTCGATCTTATACCCCTAAACAAGTTTTGTAGATATCTGCCCCTCTCTTCGCTACTATGCGCGACACCTACTTTTACAGCGAGTAGTGTACTCTACATGCGCCTCGATCCCTTACCTGGCTGACATTTACATTTCGCCGGCCCACAAAACCTGTTTGTTTCCGGGAAGTACCGTTCCGCATGTACCTACAGATATGTACCCCTCATATGTATCCTATGAGCACAGTGTCGACGACCCGTGCGATCGGCGGAGAGGTAAAAGGGGTTCCCCGATGGATGGGTGCGTTGGTATTATTCATGACCTGTAATTGCTGCTTGGAAGCTAGATGTTTGGAAGCGTAGATGTTTGCAAGCGCTATTAGTCGGAGATTGGTAGTACCCGCTCACGTGATGGGCTTGGCAAACGGGCGAGTGATGGGATGTGATCGGGTTGCGTTGTGGGGTGTAATGTGAGGGGATGCAAATGGCACAACGCGACTCGTGGGATACTTGGGAATTTGACGTTTGACGTCTGAAATGTCAACTTCTCAGTACATTCCGATGTCAATGTCAAGTTTAATTTATCCCTTACTTGCTTCGGGTGGGTGGGTGGGTGTGCCAGCAGGCTAGCTAGGGGTCGTGTTTGTGTAGAGAGAAAACGACATGTTTTCTTACTTTTTTTCTCCTGCGGTGATGGGGCACAGGGGGGTGGACAGCGAGTAATCGAGTCGGTCCGGCCCCCCGTGGAATGTGGTGCTGGTGGGAAAATGTGAGGGGAGGAGCAACCACGCAAAGGCCATTTCATCGGGAAAGGGTGGCGTAACTTCAACCTCCAGTGTGACTGGCCGGGGTGCGCGTGTCGTGTGTTCGGATTAAGAGTTTATGTCACATCGCTTCTTCTAGATCTATGTATCGTGAGAACCTCGAAACTACCAAACTCTAACTACATTTCACCCCCACTGTTTTCATGAGGTCAGGCGAAAAGAAGTCTTCAAGCTTTCAAGCAGCAAACATACAACTCAGCCATCGTTACCGAGATGAAAGATGTGGCATTCTATATATAGGAAGGCCCGAAAACCGTTCAAAGGAACAGCATCCCCCATTACTGATTGATATATCATACCAACATCCAAACACTAACATCTACCAGCATACATAATAACCATGCCGAGTCATAGCCGCAGTTTAAGACAAAGTTTTGGAAGAAGAGCGACATCGTCAGGTCTTTCAACCATACACGAAGACCGGGTATGGAGCATGAACGACAGCAACAGCAGCTTCTCTGAACCTGCCAACGACCCAGAAAGCCCGGTCATAACGGAGGAGGCTGTCACAGAATCCTTGGAAACTTACAGGGTCGGGAAGTATAACCAAAGTAGTTGGAGAAGAAGATATAAGAAGTGGGCATCTAATCTGCTACCTACCTGAAACGATCTATCCCCCCTCAAAGAGTTGCGGTTTTGGAAGCATAGATATCACGACGCTTCTAGCGCTGACTCGCTGCATCGCTTGAGGCAGTCGAGGAGCGTCAATAATCTTGAGGATTACTATCGCGGGGATCGGAATGAACATGCCAATCTCAGCGTGACCAGTTTGCCAGAGGGGAGTACGAAGAAGAACTGGTTTAGAAGAGGGACTGTGTCACTTGCCACAAGGCTTGGCGTTGGAAGCAGCCGTGATTGGGAGGATGTTTTCGGGGGTGATCGATATTTCTGAGGGAAGAAAATGTTTGGTCTGATTGAAGGTACGACTTGATAGAGCAATATTTAGAAGCAAATGAATTGACCGAAAAAGGAAACGGCAGATTTTGAAACTTGACATTAAGAATTGCTTCTCTTCGCACCTCAGCCATGAGCTGAACCTGAATCTTTAGTGTGACAATTCCTTATATTCGGGTTGATTACTCATCAAGATTCCCGCAAGCATGCTGATATCTAGATTCCCGAAGGTCACGGCTGCCAATTACCGAAATAAATGGTTACATGTAACACCGCAGTAGCTACAATTTCTACAGCGCAAAGGTAGTACCATTAAGTGCAGAAAAGCAGTCTTCCGCTCTACGACCCGGTTATAGAGCGGATCGTGTGGTATTGAAAATATCTCGGGGATCCGGGATGGCGTGTTTGTGACGGGTTGTACAACACGTTCTTCCCTTCGGGGGTGGTAACTATTCTATTTAGTGTGATCGGAGGGGGTGATTGTGGGGTGGTTCCGTGTCGTACGTGTAAGGCTTTCTGCAGACGGGAGGCCCTGATAAGCTTCTAGATCGTAATAGAAGCAACGATATATATTCCGGTGGTACTGGAGGACGGATGAAACATTTGAGGTGGGCTGATGGTACTACGCTCTGGACGGCTCGAGTCGGGTGGGGAGACCAAATAATATCATCCAATATGTAGTCATGCTTATATATCACCTAGTCTATAAAACCCGTCCCGTCTTTCGTTATTTGGACTTGAGATGACATGTTCAAGATATATCAGCCAGAGTCAGCTCTCGGAACGGGTGCGTTTATGATGCTGTTTTGAGCGCTGTTAGTTGTTTCCCAGAATATTCACCAACATGCTCCAACACGTACGACTCTAAATGTTTCTTCACGGGATTGTTCGGTGGAGGGAGTTACTTCACACGTAGAGAGAGAGAGAGCATTAAGTGCCCTAGAAGGTCGATATAGAGACATAGGCGGATCACAACCGACGGAAAGCACAGAGAGTGGGGATATCCATCCAAAGTGGGAAATCTTCCCGGAATCTATCCGTTCCGTATTGCGAAATTTATACTCCCGCTAGTGCTATTATCAATTCCAGAAAAACGAAAAATCGATTGAAACATCAAGTTTTTGGTACAGTTCATAATAACTTAATGATGCATCATGTCGCCGCACAAGGTAACTTATCCCGTCCTTCATTAGTTGCTGTTTGTTTTTGAATATCGATATATACCCTGAAGTCCAATTGGTAAGTGGGGTAAACTTGCCAGATATGTAGAAACACTTCCTGATCGCGGCGAGGAAAAACTCTATATTTTAGTATTAATTACCTTAGAATATCGGCTATAAGCTGTTAATGGCGGCCCCTATGTGGAAATATCTCACTAGGCAGCAGTCTCGCTATCAAGACTGATCTCGAAAGTACAAGTATCATTGTTCGGGCGTGATTACTAATACGATTACTCTAACCGAAACAGTAATAGTGTAGTTGATCATAGTTGATCACTCGACCACCCCGAAATGACCTTAGATTGCAAATTTGTGAAAGGCAGTTCTGGGACGAGAGTGTTGGTTCGGAACTACTCAGGACTCAAGGTTTACCTATCTATCTTTGAAGAACATCATCTACGAATTCGTCTTGGTAAAATAAACAAAGTAGAACCTTTGAATAATCTTTCAAGAGTCATCAGAGCACGAATTGAGTGATGGGCGAGTACTTGTACGATGCAATAATGCTTTTTTTTTTATTAAACACACTGACCTATAGACATTACAAACATCCGAACTCAAACTTCAACCAACCCACTAATCACCAATGTCAAAATATCTCTCGAAGGAAGAGATGGAAGTAGCCATGAAAAAAATGGCATACCAAGGAGACGCCGCCGCGAAGCTAAGAGAAATACGTCACCTCCAAACACCACACAAGCCAGAAAAGGACGACGGCCTAATAGAGTTGGACGGTTCGGGGGAGTATTATAATACTCTAGAAAAGGACAAGGAAGAGACTGGTGATAGAATAGAGGTGAATGGTTCAGGGGGGACGTATGATATTACTCCAGCGAAACAAATTACTCAGGGCCTCCACTGGTATTTTGATCGTGATATGGGGCCGGAGATAGCGGCCGAGACTGCGCGGCAGAAACGGAGTAGTAGCCGGAGAGATAGCAATAGTAATACGGGAGGTACTGGCGTAGGTCGTAGAGATGTTAAGGCGGTTGTGGTGGATACGCTCGGTAGGTTGGGCCGTGCGGGAAGTAAAGGGGAGAAGGATAGGGCGGTTGGAGATCTGGGGATGAGGAGATCTAAGTCTGAATAAAGAGAGAATTATATCGTATGATCGTAGAAGGAAGGATTGAGGATATAGATGCGTATCGATGAGTTTGGTATTGTGCGGGCAAACCATGGCCGTCAGTTATACTAGTATTAACCGCGGCCGTATTTGGGAATTAATAGAACTATAGAAAAGAGAGAATTTGTTCTCTCAAATAAAGTGCTTGAAAAGATCGATCAATGAGGAGAGATAGTATCGATCCTGTGCGCAGACATAATTGACAAACACGATTCCATTTGTATGGGTGCTCTGAATCATATGCTCTTCTTTATATTTGAATTAAGGAAAGAAAAACCATTGAGATCTATCTAGGTAGAAATCGTCTACTTCGGGGTCGGGAAATGATATTCTGACCCACTACTTTGTCCTTCGAGCGGTGGTAGCACAGGTGCAAGTGTGGCTATATAACTTACACGCCCATGCGCCACCATATATGACATTGACAGTGATGTGTAACTAGATTGTATAACACACAATCTTTGTACTACGGTGTATTACGCTAGCCCTATTACAGCATCTAGGGAAATACTTAACGCATACAAATATCTCCTAACTCTAATCTTGTATTTTGTGCCTGAAGAATCTCGGATATCAATTTTACCAGATCTCAATTTATCAACAGATCCCGGGTTTTCATTAGTTGGTGGGCTTCTCAGATCTGGCATCTGCATGCGCGCATTTGCAAAAAAAAAAAAAAAAAAGGGCTTTATGGCCATTCCGGGCATGAATGAATGATCTTAACAAGCTATTCACTGGTAGTGTCAGCTGGGTAACAGTTAGGTGAATGTCGAAAAATGCCCTAACTCACAGTTCCGGATGGGGAAATTCGGCCAACATTGCGTTACCCAGCTGAGCCGGCGGCCTTTGGGCGTGTGAATAATAGTATGTGTTTCTCGGTCCCGTTTTCCCACATAGCAGCAACTGAATTTCTTCCTTCTCCACTCCTCCTTCGACTACATATACTCCTCGTCATCTCTCACCACCACACCATCATCGTTGTCATCACTTTCTTCTTTTCACACTCCCACGACGCTGGATAACCGTAATATTCTGCACTCCCCCCGCGGGAGCCAACCACCACCACCACCACCCACCCACCTTCCCGTATACCAAGTACTACCTACCTAATCCAGGTGCTAAATTTGAGCTCCACAACAACATACTACCTGGATGGGCATACAAAGCCCGCATAAGGCGCAAAGTCACGATGGAGATCTTGCTCTTAAGGACATCGCATTTCGGCCTTTTGAAGATTTACGGTACGGGTATGGTTCCGGACCGCTTATTGCTACCACTACCCCGTCACGAAATCCGCTAGTGTTGAGGTTCTATTTAACATAAATGGGAATTACCTGTAGTTAATGAATTAAACAAAAAAAGAAAAAGAAATAAAAAAGCGGGAATTACCTTAACGTAATTATGCAAGGAGGAACCGGTTCTTGACTTTGGGAAAACCACTAGAGTTGATGCGGTGGTCGCTACTAGTACTTTGAAGGTGGGGTTAGAGGTATGATGGGGCCTGTCGACAGGTAAGTGAAAGCTGCTCTGGGCGCTGGACTCGGCGTGAGGATAAAAATGTTCCGCTCAGCTCGAATTATCAGAGTTTAAAACTGAGGCTGGGCTAGAATTTGACTAGTGGGATACAAGGTAAGTTCTTGAGTCAGGTGGGTAAGTTCCTTACCTATAGTTCAAAACATGATTTTATACACCGGTAAGTTCGAGGATACTTGACCTGTTGGATTTGCTGCTTGAATAGACTCGACAGTTCGACTAAATTATCGAGAGAACTTCGAAATATTACATCCTTTCTAGCAGATTCAGAGATGAACTTTGGACTTTATGTTTTTCCATAAACTCTGTCTAACTCCGCTAAGCACCTTGCACTGTTGGCCAACGGGGCAGACGACCCCGAGCAAGCGGAACGCCCCCTTCAAATTGGATTAGTGCACTCACTCCTTTCATTAGTTCTCTTACTTTGACCCCGCTCAACCGCCGAGCTCTTAACATACCGAGTATATCAGGCCGGAGGCTATCATTAAATACTAACTCCTAATATCAGAAGGCTATTGCGGTTAGTGCTCGCGAGAAAAATAAGTCTGCCCTTTTTGGTACGTGGGTAGGACATCAATCTTTCTTGTACATACACCCATGTACCAAAAAGGATAGACTTGTTTTTCTCGCCGAAATTTGCTGGACTTTCGAGCAGTGATGATCGGGTAAAGGTTCATGTAGGATCCGGAACAAGATCTATATGTCTCTGGGTGTTATGGTTGGTAAATATTACTTTACTATGAGATCCCGTTGATGGCTGGAATAAGTTATGGGGAGGGGGGGGGGGGGGAAAGCATCGCGATGTTAATTGGTCGTTTGATGAGAAAAAAAGGTCATGTCACATGTATTCCTTAACCAGGTATCCGTCCTGGAAATAATTCTGAGCTGATCAGAGGATACATTAATATCTCGAAACCCTGGGAATTGTTGACACCTAGTGGTCTACGATCGGCCATTTATCGGACAGGCACGCCAGAACTATTGCATAATGAACCGTGTGAATGGGAAGTGGCATATACCGCATTAAATGGTGGAATCGGACAAATCGCTAGCAACAAGAGTATCCAGAGTAAGCTTAAGTAGAACTTGGACAAAATCTGGCCCCTAGACTCGTTTAAAATCGATTTCTCAAAGATGTTACAGAGGGTTAGTCCTTAGTGGTCGCCAGCGGTGTGTCCGATTTCGCCAATTAGTGCGGTGTAAGTTAGACCCCGCCATAGCTTTCCCGGAAGCTACATGTATTTTTACTAAAGAATCATGTTGATTTTTTAGCGCTTTCCCGTACCTTTGCTGGGTGGCTAAAGATTCGCAATATTTATTAGACGGAGATCAAGCAGGGGCCAGTTACTGGACGCCTTCCCGTAAGTTATTAAACGTGTTCTATTGCAATAGAGGATGGTTTTCGAATAGACAAGGTTCCCGTAAGCATACGGTGATTGATATATTTCCTAAAAATCTAATCGATTATAATCGGTGCCTAATACAAATTGGGTATCGTTAAGCCATCTTTTGGGACTATTTTTCGCGCTAGCAAGGTGTTCTCTCCATTGCAACGGATAGAAAATGGATAGAGTATATCTATCGAATAGACCCCCCCCTCCCTAGGGGGGTCTATAAGAAACACATAGACCCCCCGTTCTATTCGATAGAACAGCAAAATTTGATCTATCCGGCAATAGAACGCCCGCTATTGCTTACGGGAAGGCGTCCACTACGGCGGCCCAGTCACTAATTTTCTCGGCAATGGTAGATTGGGCTAGTTTTGTGCCAATTCGAAGAGAATTCTGTAGATCACTCGGGATCGCCCTTATTATAGTTACCGAGAAAATCAGCGACTGGTGCTGGCCCCTCCTCCGCGGTACTTGACCGGCAGTCTTGACCGTTGGTTTGAAGGCCCCCTTTACTGTAGGTTCAAAAGTCCCAGTTCTCTAAATGGCTTTTAAAGTCTCGCCGCAATGGCCGTCGGGTACTGGATTAGACTTGTAAGTTAAGATTAAATTCCAGGCGTTTGTCCAGATGACCGAGTGATATCTAACGACTCACACGATTTCTGGGTTCTGGACAAAGGGCCACTAATACTCGGAGGAAAAGTCAAGAAAAAAGATATTCTTGGGCGGTGACCTCGTCTCAGAGTAGTTGTCAAACGGTTTATGCCCCTGCCCTTACCCTTTTCTATCGAGGGCAGTATATATAGTCCACGAGGACGCTCGAGGCGAGGTTTGAGAATGTCCTCGAGGTACCTTGTCCTCGTCGGCCTCTGTCCTTGTCTGACCTCGATGTCTAACACAGTTGTCCTCGAGGTTCCTCGGGGAGAGAAAAAACGGTATTTATTTCAATTAAAAAAGCATATTCTATCCTTGACCTCATCTTAATTGGGAGATTAAGTGTATAATATGCTAAGAATTATCCTCGGGGTCCTCAAGACAAGGACAGTTAGTGTCCTCGAGACTCCTTGTCTTTTTAGACCATTGCCCTTGTATGTCATCGAGGACATATCCTCGAGGCAAGGACACAAGGACCCTCGTCCTCGTGGACCACACTAATCGGGGGTTTATTGAAGATTTATTGAGTGTCTCCTAGTGTGCTAGGCATAACGGAAAGGCTCAAGAATCAGATAGATGCTTGATATTAGTAGGTGAACACGACGGAAGTAAAACCCTTCCGGATCTTGTATGACATCGTTGGCTCCCATCAATCTTGTGTATCAGACGACTTTCCTAGCCACTCGGACACCCCATCACTCGGATAGTCAATGATGAAGGGATATAGAAGTTGGTCACAACGCTAATCCTCTCCTTTCTACGTTAGGACTCTGAGTGAAGAGAGTGTCCGAGTGGTTAGGGAAGCCGTCCCTAGTAACTAAGAGTGGCCTCACATAAAGTATCCAGACTTTTTGGCATGCATTTTTTCCCTCCCCTCTGTACAGGATAGCTCGATCCCAGGACTTGCCATCGGTGGAAAGGGTAATGGGGGAGGAGGGTATGTTTTCGCGCAAAAGGTAAGGGAAGAGTGAAATTTAACTACACCGCAGCTCTGACTTCAACTACGCCATAAACTACCCGGAATCCCAACTCACGGTTTAGTTTCAACCTAACTTTGGCGCGAATTGGCTGTTTTTCGGGGAGATTGGTATTTCCCTTGAATTACATTTCCTGAGACGTTCGTTGAGAGATATATACTATTTGAGGGGTTTTGAGTCAAATATTCCCCCAGTCGATATCGACGCTGGAAAACCTAGTGACAAATGAGACCACCTTAACCGAGCTTATCTTATTACCTCGCCTTGATCAGGTGCCTCGCAGGTAGCCTTATTGACGCTTGTTATACCGGGGATTATATCCCAATATCAAAAGTTTTGGATCAAGGGGGACGTGCACCTAGCTCCTCGTTTTTGAGAATACCAGCCTGGCACGTGTTGTTGAAGTCGCCTACCGTGAATGACAGACTTCGATTATCCTTATTCTTTAATTTTGGAGCGCTCGAAGCCGCCTATAACGTAAATCACGGGGAACTCGGATATGACAGGGAAGTCGGATGTCTCAGATTATTCATTCACTGTGGTGTCCGTCCGGTTTTCATAGGGTGAACCGCAACATGATCCACACATAATTAAGGGTTGTGAACGCCAACATGATCTACACATAAAGGTGGTGAACGGTAACATGATTTGTAATTTAGATATGAGTTGAGTTCCCCGTACTATGATCCTAACAACTGCTATCACCCGCACTACAATCCCAACTAATAACTACTATACAGAAATAATATTATATCAATACGGTACCACACTTCAAGTTTCCCCTTATGCTGAGATGATAATTAAAGATATTAGTAGGAGTTCTGGACGAGATTTGAATGCGACAAAGGAATGTGTATAGGTTAGGGTACAAGAGACTGACCTTCACTTTTGGTTTTTCCGGTCTTTGTTTTTGATGTGCGCTTTCCCTTCTTCAACTTGTCCGCCTCTTTCTTTTCTAACAGTGCCTTCAGTCTCATTATCTCCGCCCCTGTAATCACCTGCGCTTTAGAGATCACTCTTCTGTCGGTTTTTACTGCCCTTTTTCCCTCATATTTGACCCTAATGTCCCGGAGTTGAATTTTGGCAATTTCCGCTTGAGTGAGGGACTCTTCTGCTAAATGTGACATTCGAAGGATAATTGCTTTATATTCATTTTGAGTGAGCCCCGGTACTGGCCCTTGGTTGATATTTGATACTTGAACTGATCCAGATTGCTCCGTTTTAGAATAGATTCCGGGATTTAAAGCAAATTGAGTTTGATGGCGCAGGTCACATCTGTTCTTTGGTGTTTGAAGGCATGGGTGATGTAGAATTTGGAGATTGGACTTCCAGGGAGTTGCAGGACCGGGTTTTTGGTTCGGTTTGAGTTTGGTTAATACTTTATCGGGGTTGAATGGGAAAATACCAGTGGTCCGGAAAGCCGCCTGTATTGAGGATTTGGTGTATGTTTTTTTCCGAGCATCGACAAAGAATGACCAAAAAGTGCTTTTATTTATACCGGTTCGGATTTCTCGAAGGTGTGTGTCTGCTGCTTTACCATAATAATGTTGAAGGGGGCCGAATAGACCTACATCTAGAGGTTGAAGTAGGTGAGTTGAATGGGCAGGGAGACACATGATATGAATGTTCTGAGAGGAGGCATAAGAGCAAAACTCATAGGTTAGGTGTGAACCATGACCATCTAAAATCAATAGGCATGGTCGGGCTCCACTGATCTTTTTGGAGTGAATGTCGAAGTGCTCTTTCAACCATCGCAACCCCATATTATTGTTTGTCCAACCATTGTCGCTAAAACAAAAGACCGCTTCCGCATCATCTGTCGATTGGTGCCAACCTATGTAATGACTCTTCCCTTTATAGATTACCCAAGCTGGAAGAACACAACCTGCTACAGAGACCGCTTCAATGACTGTGATCAACTCCCAGGAACCATCCTGGGCAACGTTTGGATTTCTTTTCCCTGACCGGCAGATCACTTTCGCTTTTGATGAGTAACCAAGTATAAACCCTTTCTCGTCAAAATTGTACGTATCCTGGTTGGGGCGAAACCCTTTAGAGATTAGGGTGTGGATAAGCCGGTTTAGCTTATTGTAGTAGTCTCTTAACGTGATGGGATTATTTGCTAGCTGCCTTTGACGATCCAGTTGGGTGCTGTATTTGGCTGAAAGATCTGGATGCCTATCAAGGAAACGTGTTATCCAGTTTCGTCCAATATGTGCTGCATCGGGCCCAAGATGTTCCTCTTCCGCGATCTTCTGCGCTAAAGCTGTCGCCATACCCCGCAGTAGATCCACCCTGGGTGGAAAACCTGCATCGTCCATGTCCTGGCACCATTTCTTAAGTGCCCTTTCCACGCTTGGTGGTAGCTTCTGCTGGTCCTGATGTGCTTCCCGTCTATTTTTTCTGCCATTGAATCGATCGTTCAATGTAGATGCGGCAATACCAAATTCTAGTGCGAGAACTGACCAAGGAGTGTTGTATTCCGCCCTCTTTGACAGTGCTCGATGTATACGATCCTCTCTTTCCTGCTCTGATAAAGCACCAGGTCGCGACTTCACTCTCACCATTTTCGGTTGTGGTTTTGTTATCACGGCGTTGATATTTTTCACAGGAGCAAACGATGATTAATGGCAAGGGTCAACTTGAATGAGTAATCTGGGACATCCGACTTCACAGGGATATCCGACTTCGCCGTGATTTACGTTAGCAGCTACTACTCCGTTTCCCTGCTCAGCGAGATCCCTACTGACCAAAACTTGGGGCCGCCGAATCTACGGCCAGGGAATATTTGTATGTGAAGTCTCGCTCAGTAGGGGTCTCGCTGAGCAGGAAATTTCCGTGCGGGGATGTTTCTAATAAAATAAGCGTGTCAATCACGGAATATCACTCGGGTCCGGCCGCCAGGGCTCCCGTATTTCTCAACCACACTGCGCATCATCGATTGGTACAGATTTAAGAAGCTTTGAATTGCAGGGATAGCTACATGAATGGATTGCTTAGAACCTTATGGTCAAATAGTCTTTCTAGAGGCTGACAAGCCGGAAAACTCGATCCAGAAAGGTCAGGATCGGGCAGGCAGACTCGGGACCAGAGGGATCTTTTAAATATTCTCCTTTCAAAAACTACCACGGGTATTTATACCTGCCACTTCCATATACCACGAATGACTGATATGGGCCGTCCCGATCGGCCTAGTAAAGGCAAGGCCTGACCAGCCGGCGATTAACCCCGACCCGACCGGACCATGTCCATCCGGTAACAGATGACCGGATAATTTCTTTATGTCCGGGCCGCCGGCGGGCTTAAGCCGCCCGCACCTGTATTACCTGGTTTAGGATTTCCCCGAGACCACGATATCACGATACTACCATGACAGCCAGACCAGCTGCCAGCTCGAGATACTTGCGTCCCCGCCCCGGATCCTGGCCAGAAAATTATCGGAGAGATTTGTTTTGGATTCTGTTCTTCACATGTCTACTTCATATCCACCTACCTAGAAAACGGCTATAGCTACTCCCGAGTCCTAAGTCATGGATCCCTGGCTCGAATTGGAGCAGCCCAAACAAAGAGCCAAGGCAAGCATAAAATAAAGTTTGCAAGTTGTAACTCTGAAGGACGACATATCCGGTTTCAACAAGCGTACCCCGGATTTGCAGACGATCATATGACTATGTATAAAACAGTCGGGTTCTGCAGTGAAACACTGCACTGCTTTCATTTCCGCATCTAAGGCCTAGGTAGCACCGGGAAAGATTCCTTGGACTCTTGTCGAGGCCTGACGAGTGAGACTCTGTAAGTGTATTCGTGAAAGTACTCGCGGCGGGCATGAAGTACCCGAATCTGCAGCTGCAAGTTTTTGGTGTATTTTTGACTTCTACTCCAATGGAAATTGCAGATTAGGACGTGCATTTTCGGGTACTTGTTACCTGCTGCGAGTATATACACTAGCAAAGGCTTTGCTACCCTTCACTCCATAGCGTTTCCGAACTGGACTTCCGCCAAAATCTTGTTGTCATGCACGATTTACTCTACTCTACGCCCATATGCAGACCCAGTCCAGTTCGGAAGCATTATGAAATAAAGAGTAGAGTAGATGTAAAGGTCTCAAACAACCCGAGCTTTTAGGTTTCGTCCCACATTATTCGCCCGTGGTCAATATATTATCTTCCCCACAAGTCTTGATATATTTTCTTTTGACAGCAGCATAGTTAAATCGTGCCGGTTATTCCTTATGAGACGTTCTTTGTGCATGTGAATAAGCTCAAGAAAAAAGATGTCCTATATTTGTACCTAGAAGAGTTTAGCACGACCTAGTGCGTTCCCCCACTAAGGGAATCCGGCCAATGATTTTCGGTATAGGGTTGGGGCCAGGCGCGATTGTGCTTTGAATGAAAGCTCTTGGTGCTTAATGTATGTAATATATGGGGGGAGGGGGGCGGAAAAACAAAGAAGAAATCACCATGGGGTACAAACATAGTTGAAGATTTTGGTCAGGTCTGACAACTAACCCTAACCCTGAAGAGCTTGTGACACTTTGGAAATGGTAGAGCGTTGTAGTGATAGAGTAGAGTGTAACTATCGGCTTAGCGACTTGGCCGTAAAAATAGCCCGGATGTGCTCATTGGCTATAAACCTGTGATAATGCCAGGTGCCGAGCTGAATGATGTAGATGGAGTAGTAGGGAATGAGCTGGGGATGCAATGACAAGAAGTCGCAAGTTCCCCGCAGTCTCAGGGCTGAGAACCGCAGATTCAAAGCTTCTTTTTAGATAGTAGATACTCTATCATAGGATATAATTGCGTTGTCATTGCATCCACCTCTCATCGAAATGTAGCTTTACCAATCAGCCTACGATCCCAGGTAACTTACATGTAGGGCATTAAGCAAGTTGAGTTGCTTATTCTCGATTGCTTAAACAAGGCGTTCCTGGTTACCAGCCTCCAAGGGTATCATTGCTATGCAGTGAGCCTAATGGGTTGAATCCGGTGCCTGAAAAGGGAGGCAGACCCTGGTTACTCACCGTGTTTTGCACTTGTTACGCCTTTTGCACTTTTTTTTTTATCTAATGGACACCATGACTTGAGGTGTCCGGTTTGTGTTGCTGTCTTTAGTTGTTTCGATGAGCTGGCGGAGATGGCGTCCCTGCGTATGCCTGATGACTAGAGTAGATACATCAGATATATAGATTTGGATATGGTGGGAGCAGTGGGGTAGGTAGCTAAGACTTAGAAACCAGCTCCCCCTCCAAAAAAAAAGACTGGGCTGGGAGAAGTGCAAAACTCGGTGCCGTTGGTAATGATCTTGAGATATCAGCCATGCCAGCAGGACACGTACCTGGGCACTCCTGTTGAAGCGAGATGATACCCCAGATATCAAGATAAGGATTTAATTAGGCAGTTGGTAAAGTACATCTGATAGTTAGTAAGTAGACAGTAGCGGTTGTAGATCGCAATTAAACACCACGTGATATGGCGTGTAGCTCACCTGCTTCCTACGCGTGACTGTCGTTCCAGACGACACGCGTACAAGCCATCGCAGGTCCTACTCTGGTACATAGGTGTTTTGGTTATCGGGAACTAGGCGGAGGGGGCTTTGTGGGGTGCATTGTCGGCTGGTACTACTGTAGTAGTAGAATACTCTAGTGGTGCCGGTACCTTCTCTAGTGACCGGATGACCGGCGGCGCACTGACTAAAATTTACCAAGAATAATACTAACACTACCAAGTAGTACTGCTACTAACTGGTTACTGTAGCATTGCACTCCGCATTCCAGTTTATTGAGGCCGGCGTAGGATAAAAGGTGAGATCATTTGGTTTCCTGTGCCGCCTGGGGACACGCGTTCTGTTTTCTGAATTCCCGGATAATTCCTACTAATGTTGAACAACTGTAATTAGATGGTCCCACGGCCGTACGGCGCGGGTGACGGGTCGGAATTTTGTGGTTTGTGGTGACTCGGAATTGTGGTCCAGAACTGGAACGGCAAGATTAAGGAATTTTGTGCCTTATTCTTTTTAGACCTTATGCACCCAGGAATTTGGGTATCATTGACAAGGTTTGGGGTGTCAGTAAATCATGGTTCAGGGAATACTTAGAGTGTATGGCCAATTGAAACTCTATTACCTCACAAAAGTGCATGAAAAACACTTTTTAATTCGTTCTCTAGAGATTTCCTGAATAGTGTGTAAACCCTGCCAATAGGGCTGAGGTTAACCATGACCACTTGAAAGTTGGAACGGGGTGGTCATGACCAGTTTGCGAAGAGCAGGGTTGCGATAATGCGGCTCACACCTGTAGTTGAATAGAGCTTCGTTATCAAGGGCCACTAGATATGAAGACTTTGAGTGGAGAGCATACATAGATTTTTTCAGCGCAGGTACTACCGAGTACCCAGAATCCTGGCTCTGAAAAAAAAGAGGAGGAAAATCGCTTCCCAAATGACGTGAAGCGCTTCGCGAAATTCCCTCATCTTAAGAAATTGCGGTTGCGGCTACTACTGCATGTGCTATGAAATTGTGTGGTCGGTAATGCCGGCAGGGTGTGTTTGTTCCTGCATCATGAGAACCTCAACGGCAGCTTAAAGTGCATACATTCCTACAATGCCTACAATAGATTTCTTGCAGCGGAGGGTCGTTATTTGGCTGATATCTAGAACCAATATATTGTTGATTGATAGACAGTAAATCTTTACTGAATAGTTGTGATGTTCTTCAAGGGATATAGCGCAATTCAATATCACAGACCTCTTGCTGTCTTCCTGCCGGCGGGCCTCCGCAAAGACCAGTCCGTTGCATGGAACCCAGGGCCTAGTAGCCAAGGATGCCATATTCCCTGTATGTTTACTCGCATGCCCATCCAGAAAGAGTTCCCACTTGGCGAGAATGCCTAAAGTCTCTATCTCAACAACAACAACAACCCATAAAAAATGTGGAGTACAATAATTAATTTTCTAGAGTAGATTGTGTGGAGTTGCCGACAACATTACGATTTGAGGACTTAGCTGGCGCACGAGGTATGTACTATCATTAACCTTTAATGATCGACGCCGAGCAAGTTCTTGTTAGGAACCGACTCACTTGGGCCCCGAGTATGTATGTATGTAGAGTACTTAGTGCTGCCCAGACACGTGTATGTAGATTATCATCGCGACTCGGACCTAACGCTTTTCTCGCCTTGGAATTATTATCCACTGATAAGGATCTCGGCGGGGTTTTATTTTTCCTTTCGGAGGAGCGGGAGATGTCTGGAATTTGCAGGTTGACATTTTGGTTCTTGGGTTCGGGCCACGTGCGGGATATTAGTGACAAGACAAAAGACGTTGGTTTGATCAGCTAGGACTAACTGCACCTGGCCTTGGAACCAAACAAATTGTTTCTCATAGTTTTGTAGGAGGCGGGTCTTTGGATGCTCTATGCAGGTTCATACTCTACATGCTCCGCTCCGGCTCCTTTATTTCTCAGGGACGTGAAAGCTAACAGATGCGCTGTGGAGAAGCATAGGCCTAAGAACAGAATAGAATGATAGGGGTCTGTAAAGACTTATGCTGAGTCAATTCAGGAACAAAAAGGA